TATGTTAAGTCTTTTCAGCACAAATAAATTATGGCCATTTTTCTCAGGTAGTTTCCTAATAAAACTTTCCAGCTTCCAACTTCTGCATTACCCTAATATCTGTCCATAATGTAGGATGTGCAACTAAACTGTTTGTTTTTTCTTAAGGCCATGCATGTAGAAGCCCATATTCTCAAGGAAGAAAAAAAAAATTATTTTCCTACTCTTGGGCCATTACTTTCTGCGAGGGTGCAAGGGGAGGGAGGAAAGGGACAAAAATTCTCCTTTCAGAGGTTCAAAAGGATACCAGGCTCAAAAAGATGACCAGAACTTACTTTTTCGTGCACCACACTCGGTTCTAAGCACTTCAGTGATTTTAACCCACTTCATTCTCCCAACCACCAACCACTTTATGAGATAGGTTACTATTATTTCCCCCATTTTACACTTAAAGAAAGACACCAGGAGTTAGGTGACTTGCAGAAGCCAGGAGCCAGTAAGTGGTGGATGGCGATCTGGACCCAGGCAGTCCATCTCCAGGGTTCCTAATACTACACGACGCTGCCAGAAGCCCTTAGTAAGACACGCTTTCTCTGGTCTCTAACGAAAACATGCCAAATTCCCGAAGAGAAAATGCGCCGCGAGCCTGAACGCGGAAGGGCGGCCGGAAGGTCGCTGGGTCGCCGCGCCCCTAGGTCAAGGTGAGGCGGCCCCTCTCCCGTCCCGCCTCCCCGGCTCCTCCCGCTGCCGCCCCGACACCCTGCCGGCTCCGCCAGTCTCACAAGGCCCTCGGCGACCACCTGGGGACCCCAAGGACCGAGAAAGGAGCGGGGGGAGGGTTCTCTCCCAAGCCCGTCAAGCCACAAGGGGCGAGGGTTACGTAAACGAAGATGGAAAAACTGAGGCGACCCAGCACCGAACCCCCAACTCACCCTGCCAGGCCGAGCGGCCGCGTCTACAACCCATGAGACTGCACCTGCGCCTGCGCAGCCGCCCCCTCCGGCAGGGGCGGGGCCTCGTGTGCCCGCCCCCACGTCCGCACGAGTTGGGACCGCCCCTCGCGTGGCGGCTTACCCGGAGTTGGGAGTGGACACCGCGCTCTGCGGGCTGCTGTCGCACCTGCTTCCCCTGCTTATGCAGGAGTAAGTAGACCTCAGCTAATCTTAGGGTAACGTAGATAGATTCCTAATTGGATCCCGATAGGGCTTGGAGTTTGCCCACCTCCCGTGTTCTCGGAGTCGGGTTTAAGTCCCACTTGTTGCTGCCCAGACACCCTGCCCAGACTGCCTCCGACTTCCCTCCTTCACACTCTTCCGTGCTGTTAAGTCGCATCTGATATCATACGTTTTCTTGCTTTTTTCATTATTGTTGTCTTACCTGCCGTTCTCTCTTCTTTATTTGAAAATTTCCTGACCTATACCTAAACCTCTTTGAAGCTCGATTATTCAAAGTGTTTTGCACTTTGCATATGTCTAATAAGAGTAGTTGGTTGAAAACTATTTTGTTTGAATGATATACCAAACATCCACTCTAGTTATGGGTAAATGCTAAGAGACGCTGAGGTGGCTCAGTGGTAAAGAATCTGCCTGCTCAGTAAAGGAGATACTGGTTCTATCCCTGATCAAAGAAGATCCCACGTGCCACAGAGCAACTAAGCACCTTGGCCACAACTATTGAGCCTGTGCTATTGAACCGGGAGCAGCCTGAACCAGAAGCCCATGTGCCCTAGAGCCCCTGCTTGGCAGCAAGAGACAACACCTCAATGAGAAACCCACTAACCGCATCTAAAGAGTAGTCCTGGCTCGCTTCAACTAGAGAAAAACCCACAGCAACAGACTCAGCACAGCCAAAATTAAAAATAAAGTGCACTATAATCAAAGGGGTTTTTAAAATATATCATATACTGGAATCCAATTTACCAGGAAAAAAAGGAGGGGACTGAATCAGAATATGGAATTTTAAGTTCTCGCTCATAAAAAGAAACTTAGGAATTATGCAAATCATGATTCAATACCTAAATTTTTCTTGAAAATGACAAATTTCCAAAGTTATCTTGATTTCCAGCAGATGTACCCAAATCTCCAGAGATTGCAATCTCCATTTCAAAACTACATGAGTTAAGGGAAATTGTCTAACACTTTTTGTTTCTGATGTTCTTCAAATTATTTATCTTTTCAGTTAAAGTAAAATTTACTATTTGATGGATGCTCCAAAGGAAGGAAATTATTTTTAAATAATACCTAGTAAGTATATTTTCATTGCTGTTGTCAAGACATTATGACAAAACATCAAACAGAAATATAAATGTGCTTAAGGTCAGCTGTGTATACATTTCAAATAATGTTAAATAACTTAATTTTACCATCATTGTTCTGTCTGGAAATGTATGGAGTACTTTGCTAAGTTATAGGCTATACATATATTAAGCTTTTATCAAGTGTTTTAAAAAGTACATTCTTTATTATAAAAGTAATACATGAGAGTTTGGTATAAAGTTCCTCATCTTTTCCACCTTTCCAGATTCCCATTCTCTTCCTCAGAGGTAACATTTCCTCTCCTCTATTTGCTGTTTCTTGTGTATAGTTTCAGGAATTGTCTTTGCACATGATATGCATTTGTACTACATTTTTAGATGATTACCATTTGTTAAAAGAGATCATGGTCAGGTTAGATTACGGTCTACCTTCTATTCTACAACTTGATTTTTCTTTTTCACTTGATTATATATTTTGGATTTATCACCATACTAACCTCATTCTTTTTACTGGTTGTTTAAAAGTCCAGTGAATGGATGTATCATTTTTTCCCTATCAGCCCCCTGTTGGTGTACATTTATCTTTGACTCCTTGTGCAGGTATTTTCAATAAATGATTAGCAGTGAAAATGCTGCGTCAAAACAAGTTTTGATAGAAACTCTTGAAAAAATGTTGCGTGAAAGGCAATAGATTTCCTAATTCTTCAGTGAATTGTCTAAAATGTGGGGGCTTGATGTGGATTTAGAAAGAAAGGGGAAAAGTGCTAAGTCTCTTAAAAAATCCCCTAGTTTCCAGTTGTCTTTCACCTGCATTGTGGCAAAAAATAGAATGAGTTGTTTGAGAATGAATGATTCATATCAACTCAGCACTAGTAGACCTTTCCCAGAAAAGTTACATGATTTCTCTCCCTTGCATCCCACTTTAAGCCTTACTTCCTTCCTTCACACTAACTCTGAGGAAGAACTTGGGACATTTATTCAAGGAGCAATGTTCGGTACTTCTGTTTGACAAAATCTTTTTGCTCTACGCCTCTTAAATAAACTGTTTGGCACTGTGCTGGTTACAGAAGGACAAATTCATCTCTTCAGGAAAAAAAAGCCTACAGAAAAATATTTCTCAAATAAGTAGTCATGAACACTTGAAAAAGAATTGTTTAGTAATATATGTTCTTGCAGAAGTATAAGTTAGGTTAAATGTGACTCACTGAAGTCAAGTACATTGTTTTCATATTTGTGTCCATTCCACTTGTGGTTTATGATGGGGATGCTACAGAGAGTACTTGAATCTACAGTATTTAATGACATCTTAGTTCAAAGTCAATCCACAAGGTAGATTACACAGATACTACAGTTAAACTCTGAATGACTTGGAAAAAACATAAGTGTAAGTGATGTCATTGGTATAGAAATCTGAAGTGGTTTTATTATTAAAATATTAAAACTGAATAATTTAAAAGTACACCCTTCATGAAATTATTCATTGGACTCATACTTTAATAATGCCAGTTGGAAACTTATTTTTAAAATTTTCACTGTGAATCAATTTGCAGTTAATATGGCTTTCATTATCCTTGGGAAACAAAATTGAGAATAAATTAAAAATAAGGTAATAAATCAAGTTGAGTGTAAATTAAAAACAAGGTAATAAGAAACTTTATCCAACAAGCTTAATATGCTCTCCCCACAACTGCATACAATGTGTTCTAATTCCAAGAACCTATAAATATGTTAGCTTACACGGCAAAAGGATTTTGCACATATGATTAAGATTATCCCAGTGGTCTCACTGTAATCACAAAATTCCTTATGAAAGAGAAGCAAAAAGGTTAGAAGAAGAGAAGTGGATGTGACAACACAAGCAGAGATCAGTCACAGAGAGATCTGAAGATGACAAACTGCTGGCTTTGAAGATGGAGAAAGGGAAAAATAGCCAAGGAATTCAGGCAACCTTCAGTAGATGTAAAAGTTAAGTACAGAAATTCTCCCCTGTAGCGTTCAGAAGGATCACAGGCTTGCTGACAGCTTAATTTTCACCAAGTGACTTCTGGCCTATAAAACCGTACATAATAAAATTGTGTTTAGTCAATAAATTTGTGATAATTGTTACATTAGCAATTGCAAACTCAAACACTTAGTTCAGTCGCTCAGTCGTGTCCTACTCTTTGCCATCCCAGGGACTGAAGCACACCAGGCTTCCCTGGCCATCACCAACTCCAAGAGCTTGTGCAAACTCATGTCCATCAAGTCGGTGATGCCATCCAACCATCCAACACATTCATGTTATCATCAAATATAGTCAACTATCATCATGAGTGAGGAAAAGATGAGATTATCTTAATACTGACATCAGTTGAATCAGCTATGGGAGTTAAGAGCGATTCTTAGCAAAGTGCCCATGTATTAAAGTTTGCTTTAATCCAATACATAAGAATACTGTTTTGAAGTAAACCGGAGGAATTTCTTACTTTATACCTTTAAATATTGACTTCTTTATATTTTCTTTTCACTTTTAAACTTTGCCTCCCCTTAAAAAAAATAATTAAAATTTAAAAAAAAAAAAAAAGCCCATACCTCAGTTTCTTCCCAACCCTCAGTTTCTTTCCCATTAATATTTTAAGTTTTAAAGCAGGGCACATTTCTGTTCGCGATTACTCCTAGTGGCACTTCCGGGTTCGGCCAGCGCCTAGCTGGAGGGCGCTCGAGAGCCCGGCACAGCCTGCCGCGCGGCCGGAAGTGAAGGAGCAGGAGAACGAAGTAGTTAGCAGCGATGGTGCCGCAGCGCTTGCTGCCCTGGAGTACTTGCCGGACGATCTTCGAGTCTGCGGAGGCTGCGCTCTGGGGTGAGCTCAGTGGTCCCCGGGAAAAGGAAGGACGCCTAACCGCGGGCCCCTGGGAAAGGATAGCGTTCGTGGCAGTGTTTGCTTCTTTAAGGCTTACAGTGCAAAGTCAGACCCAGTACACTTGGCCCCTGGGAATGTAACACCCACTTACAGCCCTTGTTCCTTCAGATTCCGGGCTACCGGGGTCCGGGATTCCTCTCGGTAGACGCAGAGAGAGGGGTACACAAGACTTCAGGGGGCTCTGGTGTGAACAGTTAGAAAGGTATGGTGCTTGACTGAGCAATGAGGGTCAATTCGCGACTCAGGGAAATGAGTCGAGTGGCCAATTCCTGCCCGGTAGAGTCGCAATGAGAAGCCCAGTCTTGCGAGTTTTGCTTGTGACCCGCTAGAGAGCAGCACTCACGGGTTGATGAAACCTAGTTAGCACGTTCGGCCTGTAATAGGAACACAACTGGCCAAACAGAAGCCAGAGAAGCGAAAGTGGTTAGTGCAGGAGGTGGTCTAGAACTCAGAGCAGACGTCCTGTCCCTTCTCTCTTGCTTAATATGCTGCCTCTCCTTTGGCAACAACTTTTGTGGATAAAGATAACAGGAGCTCCAGCGTAACACTTCCCCGCCCGTTATTCCCTTGTAACTCTTGGTACAGCCTATGTAGTTGAAAATGTGTCCTCCATACAAATTCTGTTATTTGGTTTTACCTTTAGTCCGCAATCATTTACTGAGCTCCTAATCTGACAGACATCCTGCTGGGATACAGTTTACTTCACCAGTTGGGGGTGAAAGTGAAAGTCGCTCAGCCCTGTCTGACTCTTTGTGACCTGACCCCATGGGTCCATGGAATTCTCCAGGCCAGAATACTGGAGTAGGTAGCCTTTCCCTTCTCCAGGGGATCTTCCCAACGCAGGGATTGAACCTAGGTCTCTGGCATTGCAGGAAATTAAATAAACCATCACCATTCACAACCCAGTCGAGTGAGACTGCATTGGAAAGGATGGAGTTAGAGGTGTTAAGAGAAAAGATGCCTGTTTCATTAAAAAAAAAAAAAAAACTTGTAATACATGATTATATTCATTAAGCAATAAAGCAAAAATTATATTAAAACAAACAATAAAGCACACCCCTTTGAATACTCTCTCCAGATATGAGTATGCATAAATAAATGTACGGGCTTCCCAGGTGGCTCAGCAGTAAAAAATCTGCCTGCCAAGCAAGAGATGAGGGTTAAATCCCTGGGTCTGGAAGATCCCCCAGAGAAGGAAATGTTAATCTGGGTATTCTTGCCTGGGAAATCCCATGGACAGAGGAGCCTGGTGGGCTACAGTCAATGGGGTCACAAGAGTCAGACATGACTTAGCATCTAAACAACAAACAAATCTATGTGTGTGTGCACACTCAGTTATGCCCAACTTTTCGTGACACCATGGACTGTAACTCACTAGGCTTCTCTGTCCATGGAATTTTCTACACAAGAATACTGGAGTGGGTGGCCATTTCCTTCTCCAGGGACCTTCCCAACCCAGGGATCATGTGTCTCTTCCAGGTTCTTTACCAGCTGAGCCACTGGGGAATATTTAATATATAATGTGATCTTCTGTGCTTACTTTTCTGTAATTTTTTTTCTCACTTAGGTATTCAGAAGCTTAGGTATTCATGGCAGTACATAAAACTCTTTTAACCACTGCATATGTCCCATAACTATGAATTACCATAAAACTAGTCCCTTATTGATGGATATTTTAGTTTCCAATTTCTTTGCTATTATTAAAAGTTCTCCAATAATTATCATTGTACACACTTCTTTGTGTATATGTACACCCTTCTTTGTGTATAAGTATTTTCCAGGAATAGATACCTAGAAGTGGAAGTGTTTGATCAAAGGGGAAGTGATAAGTGACATTTAACACGATTGTAAAGGAGGCTTAAAGAGTGACAGGTAGATGAGAAAGGTTCTCTTCAGAAGGAACAATGTGCATAAATCATGAAGGAAAGGTGAAAAGATACTGTGTACCATATAGATTATTTAAACCTCACAGCAACTCTAAGTTAAATAATATTATTTGACTTTACTCTCCCAGAGAGTTTAAGTAATCTGCCTAGGGTCACAGAGCTAAGTGGGCAGGCCAGGATTTGAACCTAGATTTATCTGACTCTAAAACCCCTGTTCTTTCCACTATAAAAATGAAACTTTACATAAGAAGTCAAGTCAAAAGATTGACATGGTGAGCTGACTTGAACAATGGGGAAAACTCCTTTGACTTACTCTTTCCAGATATTAACAGTATCATTTTGAAGATAGCTAATTTATTTTATTCTTTCCAGGTTTGAAGTCAATAAAAAGAAGCTGCCACAATTTTTGTACTGCTATTTGTCAAGATGTCACTTACATGGAACTTAAAAACCTCCTGAAGTCCAAAAAAATTATGTTAATTGATGTTAGAGAGCCATGGGAAATTCATGAGTATGGAAAAATCCCCGGGTCCATCAATATACCATGTAAGTGATGTGTTTTAACCTGATTTGTTAGGAAAACATATATCCAGTAATTGACTGTATCTAAAATTTAATTGAAATTCTTAACATTTTCTTACAGTGGATGATGTAGGTGACGCTCTACAGATGAACCCAAAAGACTTCAAAGAGAAGTATAAAGAAATAAAGCCATCCAAATCTGACAATCTAGTGTTTTCTTGTTTAGCTGGAGTAAGAAGCAAGAAGGCTGTGGTCACAGCAATCTCTCTGGGCTTTAACAGGTAAGTAGCTTAAGGATAAAAATGGGTTTAGGATATGTATGTGTTTTGTAGGTATATTTTTATTGGTCTACTGAAGAATTTCATACTTACTATATTAACGGAAGGATAAGTGCAGATTCTTACAGACTGACTGTACTTTTCATTCTACAGTCCTTTAAATATGCTTCAAGTGTAAATATTATGGTGAAAAGTCATTGCATTGCTAAATCTCTAAAGTCATCTTATCTAGAAAGTTCCTCTGAACCTTGTGCTGTAAGGCAGGAAAAATGGTTACAGCACTAATTATTTGATGTATGTTTTTAGTGCTCAACACTATGCTGGAGGATGGAAGGAATGGGCAACCTATGAACTTTCGGAGAAGAAACAAGGAAATTAAATTTTGGAATACAAGCTGACCGTTTCCTTGTGTAAATGCAGCCCAGAATAGTGGAATAAGCAAAAGAATAAAAAGGTAGCCCTGGAACTACTGGTTAATGGGAAAGGGATTTTGTATTAGTCAATTATTTTTTGTTGAATCTTTTTCTCACCTATAAATTGGGAATATCACATCCCCCAGCCTACTTCCAAAGGCTAATGAGGATTAAGGTTAATATATGTGACTCACCTTGGAAACATAAAGGTTTCTAAAATAAAGGGATTCTAAAAATTAATTTTTAAATATTTTAGTATTGTTCAATAGTATATTCCAGAAGACCTGGTTACTTGTATTACTTAACCATAATGTGTGACCAGGTGTTCAGCATAGCTTCTATACTCTTCCTCAAAGAGGCTATGAGCTAGACCAGGAGATTACCCAACAGACTTAACCTTAAAATACCAAGAATCTGGGATGCAGAAAAGTAGGTGAAATATGAACAATGAAAATATATTAACAATATGCAAAGACTTATGCCACTGTGACCAACATGGTAGTGATACAAATTTGTAATTTAAAAAAGTAATATGATCTATAGGGATAGTAACAGTGGTTGCCTCTGTTGAGGATAAGAGATTAACTAGAAAAATGAGGAAAATTTCTGGGGTGACGGAAGAGCTCTATATCTTGATTGAGGTGTTGGTACACAGGTATAATCATTTACCAAAACTCACTGAAGTGAACATTTTAAAACCATACACTATCCATAATTATATCTCAATTAAAAATAATGAAAATATTATTAGAAGAAAGTTTAAATACAAATGATTCCCACTAGCATGAGTACATTGCTTTAGAATGTTAAGTCCTGTACTTCTTCATATACTGGTGAGTGGTAAAACAAATCTGTGCTCTCTTCTGTCTCTTCAGACCCATCTATTTTTAGTCTCATTTATACAGTCACTCAGAATATGTAAGGCCTGGCAAGTAAACTCTAAGGACCTGGTTTTTGTCCTAAATGATTTATTAAGCTATTGGAGAATCTGGGGTAGAGATGTGATGTTATCACCTTGAACTTCTATTTCTGACATATCAGTCTAGTTTCTAGCAGAGCAGACTCCCTACAAGAACTAGAAAAGATGGAAAATACAGGTAATAGACACATACACAGATACACTTTTCAATGTTGGCTCATCCTCCTCAGCTTTCCTTCTCCCCAGATCGTGACTCTTCAAATCCTTGCTGCCTTTAAGCAAATTATATTTATATAAAAAAATATTACTAGGGCATATATATTAAGAAACTGAGGAATTAAGAGCCACAAGTTCACACAGAAGAAAAGCTATAGAGAGTGAACTGCCATTGAAATACTGGACCCAGCAAGGAATAGGTAAATACACCAGGCTTCTAGTTAATACCCCTACTTCCAGAAGGCAAAACATAGTCAAATAGAAATACTACAGAACACAAAATTATCTATGTATACTTAATATATACTGAATATAAGTTTAACAACAATTATGCAATTAACCTGGGAGGATGATGGGAGTAAAAGTCCCAGGGTAGAATGAGTGTGGGGGCAGGGTGGTGGTGGGGTGGATGGGAGTTGGAATGGAGAATAGGAAGTATGTGAGAAAGTAAAATCTTCATCTTCAATAGTAGGAAGTTGCGATGATATTTACAACTGAAAAAAATTAAAAGAAACTAACTGGAGGGTAAGCAGAGGCGGCAGTAAAGTGTTTAAGAGCGTGGGCCTTGGAGTCCACTGCCCAGATTTTAATAAAAATCTAATCCAAGCTTGCCAGGAGAAATATCAATAACTTCAGATATGCAGATAATACCACCCTTCTGGCAGAAAGCAAAGAACTAAAGAGCCTCTTGATGAAAGTCAAAGAGGAGAATGAACAAGTTGGCTTAAAACTCAACATTCAGAAAACTAAGATCCTGGCATCCGGTCCCATTACTTCATGGCAAATAGATGGGAAAACAGTAAAAACAGTGACACACTTTTATTTTTTTGGGCTCCAAAATCACTGCAGATGGTGACTGCAGCCATGAAATTAAAAGATGCTTGCTCCTTGGAAGAAAAGTTATGACCAACCTAGACAGCATATCAATAAGCAGAGACATTACTTTGACAACAAAGGTCCGTCTAGTCAAAGCTATGGTTTTTATAGTAGTCATGTATGGATGTGAGTTGTACCATAAAGAAAGCTGAGCACCGAAGAATTAATGCTTTTGAACTGTGGTGTTGGAGAAGACTCTTGAGAGTCCCTTGGACTGCAAGGAGATCCAACCAATCCATCCTAAAGGAAATCAGTCCTGAATATTCATTGGCAGGACTTAATTGTGAAGCTGAAACTCCAGTACTTTGGCCACCTGATGCGAAGAGCTGACTCAGCAGAAAAGACCCTGATGCTGGGAAAGATTGAAGGAGAAGGGACGAGAGGATGAGATAGCTGGATGGCATCACCAACTCAATGGACACGAGTTTGAGTAAACTCCGGGAGTGGCAATGAACAGGGAGGCCTGGCGTGCTGCAGTCCACGGGGTCACAAAGAGTTGGACATGACTGAGCAACTGAACTGAACTAAATCCAAGCTCTTGACTTGTGATTGGGTAAGTTACTTCACTTTCTGTCCCTGAGGACAAGAACATCTCTGAAATGACTGCCTGAGAATTAAATGACTTCATAAGGTAGAGAGCTTAGAATATACTCATTACATAGTAAGTGCATGCTCAATGTGATCAGCATGTTACTTGAAAACATGGAAGTAACACAACAGCAAAGAAATGACTAAAAGTTGCTCTGAGAGCAGGAATAAAAAGCAGAGAAAATGGGACTGGATCTGACATTTTCCTTATGTCTTATAGCAACACTGTCCAAAAGAATTATGATGCAAGCCATTATGTGATTTTTAATTTGCTTACATTTAAAAAGGTAAAAGAGGTGAAATTAATTTTAGTAATTTTTATTTACTCCTAGGTATCTAAAAAATCATTTAAAACATAGAATCATTATAAACAAATTTGGTATCTTACATTCTTTTGTACCAAGTATTAAAATTCAACATATATAGCACATTTCAATTCAGACTAGCCGCATTTTGAGTGTTCAGTAGCCACACGTGGCTAGCAGCTGTCTTATTAAATAATGCAGCCTATAGTAATATTTAATTTTTTAAAAACAATACACATCCTCAATGGCTGCTAAATAAGAGACAACCAGCCGCTATATGCCTCCTGAGGGAAAATATCGATACTTTATACAGTAGTCTATAAAGGAAAAAGAAAAATTGAGCCTGAACCTGATCAATCTTTTGCATTCCATTACCAATATATAGAAATTCAGAGAAAAGAACATATTAAGTAGCATCTCAAAGATACAATCAGCAAAGTACATATGGTGGGAAATTCTTAGTGAACAAGCAAACCAAAATGGGGAACTTCTGAAATGAAATAAAGGAGGAATCCAAGAATTTTAAAAGATTTATCAATGAATTACACATGTGGTCTATATTTAAATCCTAAGTAGAATTATTTAATAATTTTTATGATACTGAAATAACTAAAAATATAAACACTAGACATTTATTACAAAACTATTTTGACAAATTCTTTTCTAGGTATTTTACTCTTAGGATTATATACTAAGATAATTATGGACAAAACATCTTGGATTTGCTTCAAAATAATATGCATATTGGAGGAAGTGGTGGGAGTTTAAAATGAAACTGGCCATGAGTTGACAGGTATTAAGGAGGCTCATTGTAACATTTTATCTACTCTTGTATGTTTTTTACATTTTCTCCTTAACAGGTTGAAAATAAAAGTACCAGGCATATATATTTTCAAAATAAAAAATTTTTAGAAATATAGGTAGGGTTAAAAAAAAAATTAGGGTTAAGTCAATGACTGTGATATATATAATCATTCTGCCCTTCCAACCCAAGCCCAATCTTAATTCCTTCAGACCTGAGGAGAGCTTTTTTTTCTTATTTCATAATCCTAGGAGACCAATGTTTGTCAATGGTACTGACTTCATAATCTCTTTCCAGCTTATGTGATATTCTCCACAAGAAAGCAGAACTCTAAAAGTATGTTTATAAACCATATGAAATTACTACTTGATAAACTATAGAAGGCTTTAATATTTATCCAAAGGAAGAAAGACTCCAAAAACAGAAAGAAGATTCAAAAAAGATAAATTCAAGACACTAGTCAATATAGCTGGAGAATGTATTTTTATTCTTGTAGTTTTATACTAGGAAGTCAACATTTAATAATCCATTATTCACAATTGAATTATAAAAATGTTTAATCCTTAAATTGTACATCAATATCCTATGACTCCAAATTTTATCACTCTCCTTCAAGTCTGAAGAAAATGATCATGTAATTTAGTAACTTCTACAGACAGCAAAGTCCCACTGACATAACATTTAGTCTGAAGTCCTACACTCAGATGAGAATTAAGAACAGCCAGTATCTAACTGGCCTGAAACCTGACTGTGTTCCTGGCTCAGGATTCCTGTAGTAAATCTGTAGTCCACACTAAGACACAAAAATAAACTAGGGTGTGTACGTCATATAAAAACTTCACAGTAAAAATAACAAAAATGTTAACAAATTTCAACCATATTACAGTTTCCATCCAATTAGCATTCAAAATGCCTGATTAACTGAATTAAATGCAATTTTTTAAAATGTTTGCCCAGCATTTCAAAATGGTTATGGAGTATAACTTTTAAAATGTCAAAGTATGCTGTACATATTGCACTTTTCTGCTAGGCTGGGCTAGTATCCTCCATGGCAAGATACAAAAACTACTGAATAAAATACACTTTAAAATCATAGGTAATTGATTCATTTCCCTGAAATCATCATCATCATCACCAAAACCTTCCAGGATTTTGTAAGATTTGATTCCTTAAATACAATTTTAAAGTTTAACTTAAGGAAAAAAAAAAGACCCCCATATATTTGACTTATTTCCTTTTTTGGTCATTCAGTGACCAAAGAGAATTTTAAACAAATTATGTTTCATGTTTTCTGGCTTAATAAAAAAGCTAAAATTTCTATTATCCAAATTAAGAAAAATTTTACTAATCAGAAGCTATTTTCAAAAGTCTCTGTAATGTCTGTCTGTAGGTTCTCTTAGAACCTTTCCAAACTTTCATAAACAATAGATTTTAAACAATTATGTATTAGAATCAAATTAGGTAAAGAAAACATTTTGCAAAAATAAAATCACTTCCCAATATGCTTGACAGAAACAAGCTATTCATTTTCATTTGTGTTCCATTGAAGACATTACTGAAATCTGTCCAATGGTTTATTTCCAACTGGTCCACTATGAAATTCTTCGGAATGTTTTAAGATTGGCTGTAGCTAGAGTTCTGACTTCCATTTGGACCCTGCTCTCCTTCACTGTTCAAGTGGGGAAGAAAGAGATTTTACACCAATTAAAAGACTCATTTTCAACACCCTAGTAAGCCTACTAAGTTTCAAGGTTATTCGTTGCTATAGCTCTACAAAACAAAGACATTTCCAATTGTAAGATACAGATGTGGAAAAATTAAAGTCCAGAAGACTACATTTGGTTTTATGTTTTTATTCTTATGTAACTTGGTGCCCTCACACATATAGCAAGCATTCTGGAAGTTAGTGTCCATATACACTCAAAAATTTCAATTAGGGTATTTTGTTGTCATTACAGGTATCACTCAACATAGAGATTGTTCTAGACAAATTTCCTATTAAATTATACATGGAAAATCTTATTCCTACTAATAATGAAAATCAAGAAGTGTTCTTCCAAAAAATTATTGTCCAAAGGCATAATAAAACCATATGTGAATACAGCAAACCTTTAAAAATCAGAAATATGGTAATTTCCTGGAAAGCACTGAATATTTAAACACTGAAACTGAAAATACCAGTAATTGTGGCAATAGGATAATTGCCTTATCTTGTCCATCAGCATCTTGCAGCTTCAGGCCCTGCAACTAGTGAAGAATCACTCAGGGAATTTCTGCAAAAAATGCATCCAAAGGTAGCTGTTTGAATGACTGCTTTAAACAGCTCCTTGTAAAAGTATTAATTTTTCCAAATAGTAACCTTAACATACCAGATCTACAAATCAGTCTTAATGTTATATAACTTATTTATTTTTCTCGATAAATGATTAAGATGGGTAGTTTCCCTTCTGACCTTCTTCCCCTAAATGAAATGATCTGATGTACATTGACAGCTGAGAACCACTGAACTTAAATGAATAGATCCCATTAAAAAACAATAAAACACTTAAAACACCCCACAACAAAAAAAAAACTTTTAGCACAAGTAACTCATACTTAGCAAAATTATGTCATTATGTGCAATGGATCTGAGTCACTTGAAAGTCAAAATTATTTATCTTTACAGTATAAGATCAATCATCTAAGTTTTTGAAAAATGATACTGAACTTTATCAACAGGGTAACAGCTAGTACTGGGGAGAAAAAGATGGCACAGAGTGAAACTGACATGAACTACTACAAAATTCTTTATCCCTGAATTTTAGATGGACTTGCCTATCCCTGTTCTGTTTAAACTTATGTACAGTATACAGCCATATGTTGAGGGATACCTGTAATAGACCTGCCATTGTATCAGGAGAAGTTACTTAACAGATGATCAGATTAGTGTAGTTTTAAAATGAGATGTCTTTAAAATATTAAGTCACAAAAAAACATGTATCAGAAGTTTTAGAAGACATTTTATAAAAACAAAATAGCATAATCTATTAAAAATATGATAATGCCTGTGAAATATATAATTAAATAAAAGCAACAATTAAAGTCTACAAAGTACCTGTTTGGAGGAGGTTTTGGTTTCGGCATCTTACTAAGAATAGTTGCCATCTCTTTTCTCTCATCAAAATTTTTCCACTGCTCATACAGTTTTAAAATAACCCTGATTATTTCCAAAATCTAGAAGAAAATATTTGAAAAGTTCTCAGAGGCAATATCAAGCACCATATGGTATATAAAGAATACACATTGCATTCTAGACATCATTTAGGAAACAGTGAAAAGATAGTCTCTATCCTTCAGATTAGGTTAGTCAATCCCGGTAAATGTGAAAGCACATGTATGCTAGTCCTATCCTTATCCATCTCTGCAGTTGGTTTCCTTCTATCTACTGATATCTTAAACCAAAACAAAACAGTGAGGTACTAGGAACAAAAGTCTAAATCATGAAAGAGAATACCACTATAGAGCGTGTGTATTCCCAGTCATATCCAACTCTTTGCCACCCAATGGACTGTAACCTGCCAGGCTCCTCTGTCCATGGGATTCTCCAGGCAAGAATACTGGAGTGGGTTGCCATTTCCTCCTCCAAGGGATCTCCCTGACCCAGGGATCCTGCACTGGCAGGCAGATTCCTTACCACTGAGCCACCCGGGAAGCCCTACCACTGCAGAGTACACTCCTCTAAAACCACTGTTTCAAACAATTTAATGAGAGGTAGTACACAAAAAACTTTGTTTTGATTCTCTACTAACTACTCTACACATGAGTTAAGGTGCTCAAAAACCAGCAGCTACAAATCTATCAAGTCCAGTTTCCAAATTAGATCTTTCTTTTTCCTCTGAGTAAATCTATCCGTGGACTGATTCTAGAACATTTCAGGGAAAAAAGGTAGAAAAAAGGGCAACAATCCATTGTTAGGAGATAGGTTGTGTTAATGGAGTTTACAGTAGTATTACAGTAGTCACTAGGCAGCTTTTAAAATAATTTTGGCAATTAGAGACTGCTTTGCAACCAGTCATACTCTTAAGTTTACCATTCTATGTAATCCTAAACTGAAGAGAAATATAACCTAAATGGTCCAAACTAATTCTTCTTGCCAACATATTTCTTAACATTTTTTTTTAAAACCAAAAGTACTCATAGCCTGGCTGACATCATGAAATTTTAGGCACATGGTAAATACATATGACATTAACTTCAAAATGAAGTTTATATTCACTTAAGGGAATTCTAAAGATTACCTTCTCCATATCCACAGAAAGCTCAGCAAACCACTGTCTGGCATCTTTCTGCTGTACAACACAGGCTACATGCAGGCAAGCTGGAGAGAAAATGAGACACAAATTCCATGTTTAACTGCACATGGAATGTATGGAGTCAGAAAGATATTCATTCACTTATGTGTATTTTATTATATTCTTTTTAAAAATTATACAGATTCATATAACTTATGGATTATATGACCATCCCATCAATTTAATCTTACAGGGAGGAAAAATTACTGGGTGATATATATATAATTTTTTTTTAAGGTTTTTGACATCTGCTCTTCATGGCGAACATGAGGTGAGCTAGTCATGGTGCAGTTGCCTTGAAAGTCAGGGCATGTCAGAGAGGAAAAAGTCCACTGAGAAAATTAGCACAGGGGAAGAATCCCTGAACAGTAGTACAAAGTAGTGGTCAAAATGCACCCAAAAGCCAGAGTGACAAAAAAACAAACCAGAAAAACCAGCCAATCTATGCAATGATAAATTTCAACGCTACTCTGTTTTGGTATTTCAATTAAAAGCAGTGTTGCTTCTGCTTTTTCAAGTCATTAGCATATGATCAAGTTAGGTGAAAACTGGGCACCCTATACAGAATTCAGTGTTGTAATCTAGCAGAGCTGAGGGAATAAAAAATCAAATGAACTATATATAATGCATTTATATACATTACTTACAATACAAACTAACAAAGATTATGAAAGAGCCCAAAGATGACAATCTACATCATAACTTTGCCTACTGTAATTTTTCCCAAGTAGCCTGCCTACCCTCATCCCACACAGGCTTATTAAATATTACATTCCCTGGTCAGGTTAACCATATGACTTTGTTAAGAGTGACATTCTAGGCAAACAGCAACTCAATGTGAAACAACATACTGGTTGCCCCAAGTTAAAGTTAGAAAGTAGGGCTTTGTCCAAGATGAGCTGAAAGGCCAGAGGTCAGAATTACACAAATAGGTAATAAAAACACAGTGGGAATACCCTCTCAGGGCCTATACAGAGTAAACCAGGGACAGAGACTCAGGTGAGGCAGGGAGGACGAGGCTGGGGAGCACGCTACTGCAGAGGTGACACCTACGCTGACTGTTCACAAAAGGTGGGAGTGGAGCAGAGACTGACAGGTGTATAAATGCTAAAACAAAGCTATGGATTTTATCCAGAAGTTTGGGGATCAAACTGCCAACATCCACTGGAATCATCGAAAAAGCAAGAGAGTTCCAGAAAAACATCTGCTTTTGCTTTATTGATTATGCCAAAACCTTTGACTGTGTGGATCACAACAAACTGTGGAAAATTCTTCAAGAAATGGGCATACCAGACCACCTGACCTGCCTCCTGAGGAATCTATATGCAGGTCAGGAAGCAACAGTTAGAACTGGACATGGAACAACAGCCTAGTTCCGAATAGGGAAAGGAGTACATCAAAGCTGTATATTGTCACCCTGCTTACTGAACTTATATGCAGAGTACATCATGAGAAACGCTGGGCTGGAGGAGGAACAAGCTGGAATCAAGACTGTCAGGAGAAATATCAATAACTCAGATATGCAGATGACACCACCCTTACAGCAGAAAGCAAAGAACTAAAGAGCCTCATGATGAAAGTGAAAGAGGAGAGTGAAAAAGTTGGCTTAAAGCTCAACATTCAGAAAACTAAGATCCTGGCATCCAGTTACTTCCCATTACTTATTTCCCATTACTTCATGGGAAATAGATGGGAAAACAGTAGAAACAGTGACAGACTTTATATTTTGGGGCTCCAAAATCACTGCAGATGCTGACTGCAGCCATGAAATTAAAAGATGCTTGCTCCTTGGAAGAAAAGTTATGACCAACCTAGACAGCATATTAATAAGCAGAGACATTACTTTGACAACAAAGGTCCGTCTAGTCAAAGCTATGGTTTTTATAGTAGTCATGTATGGATGTGAGTTGTACCATAAAGAAAGCTGAGCACAGAAGAATTGATGCTTTTGAACTGTGGTGTTGGAGAAGACTCTTGAATGTCCCTTGGACTGCAAGGAGATCCAACCAGTCCATCCTAAAGGAAATCAATCCTGAATATTCATCAGAAGGACTGATGATGAAGCTGAAACTCCAATACTTTGGCCACATGATTCGAAGAGCTGACTCACTGGAAAAGACCCTAATGCTGGGAAAGATTGAAGGTGGGAGGAGAAGGGGATGACAGAGGATGAAATGGTTGGGTGGTATCACCGACTCAACGGACATGAGTTTGAGTAAACTCTGAGAGTTAGGGATGGACAGGGAGGCCTGGTGTGCTACAGTCCACAGAGTCACAAAGAGTCAGACACAACTGAGCCACTGAACAGAACTGAACTGGGAGGAGCACTGAAAGATTTAATTGGGGCACAAATTCTGTATTTTGAAAAGTTCTTTCCTGCTTAGATTCTAAATCTCAGCACTACTGACATTATGAACTGAACAATTCTTTAAGACTGCCCTATGCAGTGCAGGATGCTTAGCAGTATCCCTGGCTTCTACTCACTAGAAGCCAGGAGCATCTCACTGCAGCTGTCATGACCAAAACCATCTCCAGACACCGCCACATACCCTGTGCGGAGCAACATTAGCCCTGGTTGAAAACCTCTAACCCTGCTCAAGTGTGGAGGACAGACTGACTCTCTGAGAACAGGGGTGCTGGAGGCCAATTAGCCAGGAAGGAGACTGCTGTAATCCTCTGGATAAAAATGAGAAGATAGCTATGAGACTGCTAAAGAGAGACACAACAGGTGTTGGTTGCCAGCTAGAAATAGGTATCAAGGGAGATAAAAGAGCCTAACTACTGGGTTTCCAACTAACTAGTCCTATTCATCAACATAACAAAGACATTTAAAAGTATATTTTGGAGCAAACTGTTGAGTTCAGGCCTAATCAAGAGTCTGAGGGAACCACAGTCCAAAAGCATTAGTTTTCTGGCACTTAGCCTTCTGTACACTTCCCACATGGATCAGTGGTAAGGAATCCGCCTGCCAATACAGGAACCGCAGGTTTGATCCCTGGATTGCGAAGATTCCCCTGAAGGAGGAAATGGCAACCCACTCCAATCTTCTTGCCTGGAAAATTCCATGGACAGAGGAGCCTGGTGGGCTACGCTCCATGAGGTCACAAAGAGTCAGACACGACTGAGCACAGCACACACACAGCCTTCTTTATGGTTCAATTCTTACAGCCACACATGACTACTGGAAAAGCTATAGCTTTGACTATATGAACCTTTGTCAGCAAAGTGATGCCCCTGTTTTTTAATATGATGTCTAGGTTTGTCATGGCTTTCCTTCCAAGGAGCAAGCGTCTTTTTATGACTACAATCACCTTCTACAGTGATTTTGGAGCCCCCTCCCCCCAAATCTGCTACTGCTTCCACTTTGCTTTTTGAATGCTGAGTTTAAAAAAAAAAAAAAAAAGAGTCTGAGGGCCAGTGAGATGCCAAAGGAAGCTATCCAAAAGGCACAGATTGATATAAAGACCAGTTCAGGAGCAAATCTTGGTTGAATAAAGAAATTTAAATGTTTCAACACATAAGAGTCAGCCGAATCGATGAGCCTGCCCAGGGAAGAACAAAAACAGCATGGATCACAGAGATGTGGCACACAGCCTTCCTACCCATGCAGATCTCAGCATTCCTCCCCACTGAACCCAGATGCCACTTTAGAATCCTTCCAAACACAGGACTTCCAGCGAGCCTCCAGTCCTATAAAAGTATAACCTATTTGCCATCCCTCATGTAAGAAGGCTGAGAAACATAAACATTAAAGGAGTAACTGAATATAGAGAAACCAATGAAAATAAGTCTGAACTGGTAAAAGAATAAGGAGGAAATCAAGACAAGAGTTATGGAAATGAAGACAGAAAGGAAACAGAAGCTAACAAGTGCCTAACATAAGGCAGGCATTATTTAAGAGAAAGCTTGTTTAATTCTTGTAACAAATTTATAGAGTTTTTAGTATTGCCCATGTTTTATAATTAAGGAAACAAACTCAGAAAGGGTTAGGTAATTTTCCCACAAATGTAAATTAAAGGAAGTTTAAACCTAAGACCGCATGTTCTATTAGTAATTCATGACAGTACTGCCTTTCACAGATAAAACTGACAGAATAGTGGCTAACTTTCCCTCCAGCAAGGCACTAAGGACCACAAAAGCTCCTTTACTTGACCTCTGAGGACTTAACTGGGCTCAGGAAATGAAAGACTTAATTTTATATAAATATTAACTAATGTTAGAAGCCTTAATTCCAAACTTCTCCCCTGAAAAACTCAGATACTGGTTAAAATTATTTTAAGCGATTAAAAAAAAAAAAACTTACCAAAAAAGGGGGGTGGGGGGAAATAATCCTGATTTGTGACAGTTGCAGTTCATATTATTGAAAGTTCACATGCAAGGAATAGTCTATTACTTCAAGGAACATAAAAACATAAAGCACAATAGGGTGAAATTTCTTTTAGGATGACCTAAATAGGTTTATAATAATTTAGCTAATAAAGGTACACCACGTTTACATACCTAAAGCTATCATGAAAGGAGGATACAGTAGGCAAAGATCCGTTCTGTAGGTATCATTCACTATCCTCCTATAGAAATGTAAATCATAATATTACTGAAAGCAGAACTACTTCATATAATTGTACATTTCCCTCCAGAGAGGGCCAGATTATCCCTATCTGTATATATTTATATCTCTTTTATATTTTTTAACAGACATAAAGGTGAAAACATCAAAAGAAAAAGATGGATACATGAATGTGACAATAAGCCGAATTATTGAATAAAATTACAGCTAAATATATTTAAAATTTTAAAACTTCACAATAAATTTTAATATAAGATAGAAGTTTTTTCTAAAATTAGAAAATCAGTTAGGAAACTAGAAATTATACAAAATATTAATATGTATGTTGAATACCACCCAAAATATTCTGACTAAAGATAACATTTTAAAATTTACTTTACTGAAGTGTAGTTGAAATCAGTGTTCATTTCTGCTGTTCAGCACAGTGATTCAGTTATACATTCCATTACTGTTTAAAGATAAAATCTTAATTTTCATGTAAACAGTCTGTTTTTCTTAAGAATCAAATTTTAATGGAAATATCCATCAAATAAATAAAGATCTTTATCATTTTAGCATTTATTTCAATATAGTTATTAAAATTCAATAAGCAGATATTTCACTCAACATAACATATCTTGGGGCACTGTTTACTTACTTTAAAAATGCTAAACTTCATATTTAATTGTCAACCTTCCTAGCTATTAACATGTTACACTATGAATAACTTCTGTTCTAATTACCATGCAAGGGGAAGCAACATGTCTTCTTGGCCCATGTCCTGCACATACTGGAGCAAAGGTCTATAAGGATGATACACTATCAAGCAACAATCCTAGAAACAGTTTAAAAAATGTGTATGTATAAAAACAGATTTATTATAGCACAAAAACCTTATCAATACCCAACTGGTTTTTAATTGTGTATTTCAAAATGTATTTTTTCCTAACTCATGCTTGCTTCCCTTCCCTCTTATTCTCTTAAGCAAGCAGCATGGCAGCCCTAAACTCTACTGTAACAGTGAAGGCAGTGCTCTCTCTGGAATATACCTTGGTAAATCGGTTGGCAGTCAGTCAGCATCCATTCCCTTAGAGACTCAAAGTGTCACATCTGCAACACACTGAAACCTCTTATTAGCCTATAAATCCGTAATTCCCAACTGGTGGAGCAGAATTCTGCCAAAGACATAATCTATCTTTAAATAATCCCACACATATACACAAACTGTGCAAATAATTTACAGTGGTTTACTGTCCTGACTGGTTTGATTGTAATCCTATTATAGTTACTATAGAACAGAAAACACTTCCCATCCTAAGTAAGATATGCAATTTTACAGGCTTCCAAGAGCATACAGGTGATGATGCCTCTAGGAACTATGGTTTACCATCACATATTACTCAGATGGTTTTAAAATGCACCTCCCTACAATTATTTCTTTAAATTTATGACTTCACTAAATTTGAAAGTAAGTTTTACTCTCTTAATCATAAGGAAGAAATATACTTACCATTAATTCTAAAAGATAGAATTCACATTCTAATACCTGTTTTAAAAAGATTATAAATGTCAACATGAAAGCAAATTAAATTGAGTCTACTTAGTCTAATATAAGAATGTATAGCTATTTATCAAAAGTTTTTACTAAAATGTTTTTAAATCAAGAAAACAATAGCTTATGTCAGAATGAACATATGCTATAAGAAATTACTTTTTACACAATGCATGCAACTGTGATTATGAGACATTTTAATTCTTTTAAGGAAAAGCCAGTCTCATATAAGCATTCTTATTACTTGTTTTTATTTAAAATATCCTGTATAAACTTCAGATTTTACAATACACTTTCCACTCAACAAATGCAATAATGCAATTATCTCCACTTAAATATCATTCCTGTTACAAATCAATAATAGGAGAGTACTAAAAATGAAACAAAAATACAATTTAAAAAGAGAAAAAAAAAAAAACCCTTGCAAGGTGGAAAAAGAATATGTCTATTAAAACAGTAACAGAAATTCATCTTTTCCAGAGAGCCCCTGACATCAGTATTATTAAAAAAGCTCCCAATGTGATTTAATGGGCACCCAGGGTTAATAACCACAGCTATACATTATTTTGTTTATGGTAGAATCTGGTTAGCTTTAATTTAGAAATAAAGTCCACATTCTCATACAATGTTAAATTGCCATTTCTAGGAGACTATTCATTTTAATATAAAATGGAGGTATAGTTTATATACACAGCTTTGAGAAATAGTTTTATTTTATACAATATACTTACATGGTTCATCTTATAAGGAAATTCCTTTGGAAAGGCATATGAAAATCTAGTTTTCACTGAAAAAACAAACAAAAAAATTTAACCTGAGAAAATGGGGAGTTCATTAACACAAAACTTCTTTAATACAGTGTAAAATATTGGTGGTAGAGCTAAATCATTTTTAGTAAGAACTCTTGAGGATGCTTGGAGATGCAGATTTTTCCTCCTTTCTCAGGCAATGGGAAAGACTGAGTGGCAGAAAGCTCTAGGACCCCATACAAAATAGAATCAGAGTTTCAATGATATATTTAATATATTAAGGCAGGACTCTGCTGCTTAAAAAATAAAGGAAATGGAAAAAAATCAATGGCTTTTATCATTTCTAAAATCTTTTCAGCTCTAGAATGGTATTGCTCTATTCTTTAGTAATTTAGCTTAAAAGAAACACGGGTTGTATATGTGTTCACAAGTATCTATATATTTGTAAATATATACAGTTGACCCTGGGCTTCCCTGGTGGTTCAGACGGTAAAGAACCTGCCTGCAATGTGGGAGACGTGGGTTTAATCCCTGGGTTGGGAAGATCCCCTGGAGGAGGGCCCTGGAGAATCCCCATGGACAAAGGAGCCTGGTGGGCTACAGTCCGTGGGGTCACAAAGAGTCGGACACAACTGAGCGACTAAGCACAGCACAGCTGATCCTTGAACGACACAGATGTGAACTGCGTCCACACACCCATGGGTTTTCCCAGTAACTAAGTACTGTATGAGCCAAGGTGCTATATGCAGATTTCTCAACTTAGCAGAGTTGGTGTCCCTATCCCGTGTTATTCAAGGTCAACTGTAAATATAAATATTAGAAGAACAATACAGCCAAAAAATGTTAACAGTGGTTATCTCTGAGATTCAAGGATTTTTACTGACCTGAACATTCTAAACGTTTTATAATATGTATATTTTTAATCAAATGATACATTTTAATAAAATCATGAATATACATGCAAAGGTCTCTAGGACTTTCTTCAAAACTACACACACGCATACACAGTTACTACTTAGTCACCAAAAAAGTACAGATTAAAAAAAAAAAAAGTACAAATGAAAACATTGTTAATCCTCTATCTCCTCAAAAATGGTAGGAATTGAGTGTTCTAACAGCTAATTTAGATAGGTAACATCTGTCAAGATTTGAAATCTTAAGCCATTTAAACTTGACATTAGGAATTATCTACCTAACCTTCCCTTTCCTCTCCTTTTAGTTATTAATAATTTAAAAATTATCACCTATTAAAGTTTCTAAGATTTTAAAATCCCTCTCTGCTTCTTTTGTTTTTAAACGAATTTTTTGGCCAGGCTGCATGCCATGTGGAATCTTACTTCCCTGACCAGGGATTGAACCTGGGCCCCAGCAGTGAAAGCTCCGAGTCCTAACCACTGATCCTCCAGGAAACTCCTGGTGGCTTTTGAATTGTGATAAAATATACATTACATATAATTTACCATCTTTATGGGCTTCCTCAGTGGCACCAGCCGTAAAGAACCTGCCTCCCAGGACCAGAGACATACGAGACAAGGGTTCAATCCCTGGGTTGGAAAGATCCCCTGGAGAAGGACATGGCAACCCACTCCAGTATTCTTGCCTAGAGAATCCCACGGACAGAGAAGCCTGATGGGCTACGGTCTACAGAGTCACAAAGAGTTGGACATGACTTAGTGTATGCACGCACGTACACTTCATCTCCAAAACTCTTTCTCCTGCAAAACTGAAACCCCGTATTCATTAGATAACAATGCCCCCTTTTTCTCCCTCCCGCCAGTCCCTGGCAGCCACTATTCTACTTTCCATCTCTATTAATTTGATTACTATAATTACCTCATGTAAGTGGAATCACAGATTTACCTTTTCCTGACTGGCTTATTTCACCTATCATAGTATCCTCAAGGTTCATCCATGCGGTATCACATGAAAAACTTCAAAATTTGTCCATCGACTTACACTCAAGCTCTCCTCCAATTCATCTTACATAATTCTGCCAGAATCACTTCTCAACACACAATTCTGGAATCACCCTCATGTTGAAAAAACAGCTATGAGAGGTACCATCACTGACAACAGAACAAGCTACAGATTCCTCAACGAAGGCCATCTATTATCTGGCCTTAGTCAGGTAGTGCTATTTTCCCACTATTTCTTTACTATTCGCTGAATGTAACTCATTAGCTTTTCCATATATTTATTAACTGAACTGTTCAATGTTCGTCTTTCCCCTGTATTTCCTTGGGTACAAATTCTTTATCAAATTCTATTTAAGTCTTTTTGGGTTAATCTAACAAATCATCTTTTCCCATGTAAAACATTCACTGCATCCTCTGTTACTCTTTTATACCACTTATTTTCTTCTGTATTAGTATTTCTATATTGATGTCTTATTTTCTTGTCCTTAAATTCTTTGTACGTATTTTTCTATCTACCACTGCATCCAGTATGGTGTTTTCCAGTGATAATTGATGCTGCTGTTGATGAACATGATGACAGTCACAAGTTTACTGAGTATTGTGGGGTGAATAATGTCCCTCCCCCAAAATATACATTCTGAAGCCCTAACCCTCAATCTGACTATATTCTGAGACAGGGCATTTAAAGAGGCAATTAAGGTTAAATGAGGTCATAAGCATGGGGCCTTAATTCTGTAGGAGCGGTATCCTTACAAAGGAAGAAACACTAGGGATGCACACACAGAGAAAGGGGCATGTGAGGACACTGCAATAACGTAGGCATCTGCTAGCCAGGACAGGCCTCAACAGAAACTGACTTGTTGACACCCTAATCTTGGATTTCCAGCTTCCAAAATCCTGGGAAAATAAATTTCTGTTGTTTAAACCATGTAGGCTCTGGCATTTTGGTATGGCTACCCTAGCAAACTACTAATAACACATTGAGCAAAGCATGGTCCTAAAAGATTTATTGATATTCACTTATTTGATCCTCTCAACAACCCTATGACATAGATGTTATTAATATACTCATATAACAGAGAGGTTATATTTTGCTTAATTTGCATGTCAAAAGCACTGAAGTTGAAATCTGAAACCTAAGCTGTCTGGGCCATATAATACACTATAAAATTTATGACATAAATAAAATAGCGTAAGTGCCCCATTCATTGGTAAAACACTCTTATGAGTATGCTTTTAAGCCTTTGCAAGTCAAATCAAAAAAACAACCTTGGACATAGGTATTTTACATTTTTTAAAATATACACCTTCTAAAAAATCTGGATAACAGAGACTAAAGAAAGAAGAAATTAAGGCACCTATAATCTACTCAGAGATGAGCACTGCTAATATTCTGGTAGATTTCCTTGCAGTCATTTTTCAATTTTTTAATAATACTGATTTTCTAGATGACAATTTAATACTTCATCAATGGGATACATTTGGTATATTAAGTTCTATGGCAACACTGATTATTACTCTTCTATCCTCAAAATAAGACATGACATGAAAAAGATTCAATTATATTAATACATTCTTTTCAGAAAGGGGAATGACCCCAAAATATGAAACCTTGGCTCAGAAACTTAAAACACCTTCTGCCTCTTCTGTGGAAGATCACAGGAGGAAAAAAAAAATTATCTTTTGTTAGGCAATATCTTTTGGCTTAACCTAGGGAGATGGAGCACAAGATAATATTGGTATTACCTTATGTACAGTACTTTACAGTGTTGTTTCCTTTAATTCCATCACTTACAGGTAGATAAACCCCATCTTTTTAGATAAAAAACTAAGTCCAAAAGGTAGAGCAACTTGCTCAAGGGTACACAGCTGCTGCTTAGACCCAAACTGGTGCTTAGAATCAGCTCTAGGACTAGGGAGTCAGCATATTTTCCTGCACCATACTTTTCCATGTGGAGGAAAAACACATCATCTCCATCAAAGACATAATTACAAATGCTAAAGAAATAAATTTATTTCACCCACAAGAGTAACACAATAGCTAGTCATTATGGAGCAATAAAGTATAATAAAATTGAAAAATAAAAATTTCCTTTACCCTATTTATAAAATTAAGAGCCATAAAACTGATGTTTTTAGATCAATAGTAACTATCCATTTTTAGTATTCAAAGTAATAACCTCACCTCAAGAGATTTAATAGACCCAACTAATCTCTCATAGCTCTCATAAACTGCAAAACATCTATGTCCTATGGAGCCTTCTTCAGAATTACAATTTTAAAGCAGGATTTAATTTTTGCACTTACATACAGAAGTAGCAGCAGCAATCAATCTTGTATTTGAGACTACTCCAAATTCCTAGACAAAAGTAAATGAGACTAAATAAGTACATAGTAACCCAATGAACCTAAGGATATCTGAAGTCTATTAAAACAGTATTTCCTATGTTTCTCTGATGTTTGCAAAGGAATAATGTACTTAAATATCTAAATTTATGACCTTTCTTTAAAATTACTTTAAACTCAAATGCTTAAATAATTTTATAATTTATTATTATTGGAAGGTACCAAAGTAGATAGCATGGTTGGTAAATCATCTGCCTGCAATGCAGGAGACCTGGGTTCGACTCCTAGGTCGGGAAGATCTCCTAGAGAAGGAAGTGGCAACCCACTCCAGTATTCTTGCCTGGAGAATCCCACGGACAGAGAAGCCTGACAGGCTACAGTCTACAGGATCGCAAGAGGCAGACATAGCTTAGCAACTAAACCACCACCACCACCAAAGTAGAAACCAAGCCCTAAAGTGATAGTGCCAGATTTCTGTACTCAAATTCATTTCCATGGCATGACATTAAGACTTTGGACATCAGTTCCTATTTCTTCTTTGAACTTAATATGTCACTGTTATAGAAATAACTAAAAAGTATGAGGTGATCCACCTTACATAGTCTTAATTAATTTGTAGCTAACCTTATAAAGTCAAAAGCTTGTTTTCTTTTTTTTTTTTTCCTGGCTGCACCATACAGCCTGCAGGATCTTAGTTCCCTGACCAGGGATCCAACCCAAGCCCTTGGCAGTGACAGTATGGAGTCCAAACCACTGGACCACCAGGGATTTCCCCAAAGCTTCATTTTAAAACTGAAAAATCAAGAATTGGTTCCTTAGTCAAAAAAAGAAACTACTAGAGCCTGTCCAAAAACCTTCAACCTCCATCCTTATCTAATAGTGTGTTTGAACCCATGTATGCCTGTAGTATATATTTCATATAAACCTCAAGCCATAATAAATGAAACTGAAATTTAAATGCCTGAGACATTTTCTTAAATGACATTTCAATATAGTTCTCACACAACTGAACAAAACAGAAAGATTTGGTCAAAGTTAAAAGATTTTTTTTAAGTGCTATAACCAAATATGAAAGAATACATCATCTTCCAGGATAATTCTACACAAAATTCTTCAAGCAAAAACTTTCACTTAGTAAATTTTAAGAGTTCTATTCAGTAAATCATGTAACAAAAGATATCTAACAAAGAAGACAAATTAAAACTCTAAGTTAATCTACAAGAAGTTTATAAAGATTTTTGTCTTGGTTTCCCATACTGGTTGTCCTTCGGATACATGCAATTATATGGTAATATTTGGAAAAGCCACCCCATAACACAGGCCTTTTATAAACACCTTCTTTTCCATTAAAGAACTTAAAAACAGAGTTGGTTCTACCTCCTTAAATTACCACTTACAATTAAATTCCATTCATTATTCAGAAATACAATTACTATTCTAAACACAGCATCTAAAAATAGAAACATAATATAAAAGATTCATATTACTAAAGATTACAATGGATTATTATAAAGACCAGTTAATTATATCTGCTTTACTATCTGGATTTTAGCTGAGCTCTCTCAGAAATACTGTAAAGGTTAAGTAAGGTGAACAGAGATTAGGTCTCAGCTGAAAGTTTCCATCTCTCTTCTCTTGCCCTCACCCAACCATTCTTCGTTAGAAAGCACATAACAGCTATAACCACCCCAATGCTTGCTTTCCCACTTGCTTTCCCTACAGCCCACTAGGCAGCCAATCAGGAGGCAAGAAGGGAAGACAGCAGAACACAGGAAGCATATAGAGGAAACGGAAGAACATTCTCAGGTTACAGTAGATAAGCTGTAGCATTTATGGAATACACCTTAGTGCCAAACAATAAATGTCTTACAGCAGAAGATATTTCTTTGATCCTATACAAATTTCAATATTTTATATAGATCACCATCTGTTATTATTTTTACACAGGTAATATGAAAATTGGGACGGACTAAGCAATATACGTTAACTGTACTTTGATGAAGAAAAGTATTTCATACCTCTACTTTGGATGCCAAAAACACACATGTAGGAGCCATTAATACAGGATCTATACTTTTCAGAGAATACCTAAAATATGATTAAATGAAGTTAAAGATCATTCATACAAAAAACATACACGAAAACATTTCATATTGAAAATATTTATATGGGAAAAAAAGAACAACTCTGGCAAACACATGATTCACTTATATAAAGTCATCAACATTAGATAAGGGTTTAAAATACACATAAAAATATTTCCAAAATAATACATCCCTACCTTGCATAGAATCTCTTGAAATAGACCGTAGCAGTGGCAATAACTTGTTGTCTTAATTTAAGATGTTCACCTAATGCTTGGATAACTAAAAGAGAATAAAGTTAAATGTATTTCTGATATAGTTAACATTTAACAATAATTTCTATGCAGTTAAATGATGACTATATTGATTTTAACAAAGAGAAAAACCTATATATGCTGTACAGTTCTACTTGGATCACAGTGATCTAGTACTAGGGCTGCAAATTTGTTTAAAAATATATAGCTACACATAAACAATAACAAAAAAACAGAAATTGTCTCACAGTAAAAACTATTCTTGAATCAAGGAGATTGAATGATTATTTCCCTTCTACCTGCTAAGTGTTTTCAATGTTTTTCATATTATTAGACACCTATCAGCATTATAACTATTTAATAAAGTTTATAAAAAACCCAGAATGAATCCTCAAAACTACAGAGAGGTAGTTTTGCAATAAGAGTGTACAGAGTATAATAAAGATTCTGTAACAAAGCTATCATGTGGCAGAACAAGGATCTTCTAACTCTAAATCCTAAAGCAAACTTGTAAAATAGGAATGACCAATACAGGATGCCAATCCAAATAATTATTTATCCTCAAAGCACTTTGCTTTAGCTATCTTAAATTAAGTTTAATGATACATTATAAAAGCTTTGGGAAATTAATACTTTTGGACTGTCTTGAGTGTCTCTGACATATAAGAGTCACAGAAGACTTTAACTCACTTTTAAAATGATATATAAATTGTAAAAAAGTACATGCAAATAAAAATGTAAAATAGGGACTAAAACAGCACATCACAAATTACTACAGAAAAACATTTAATTCAGAGGTAACCAACTGCACCATTTCAACCAATTAAAAGAAAAGTTTACCATTTGTAAAAAATATCTGTAATTTCCAATACTCTTCTTCTGAGAGAAACTTTAAATCCTTTTGGCGTTCCTTCAACAGATCTTGTTTATCCAAAATCCATTGTAAACTAAAAAAGGCAAAGATTCAGACATTCTACAGAAAATTCACTCACAAAGTTATATAAAATATTCTAAGATTGAGCAGGCAGCTAATATAGTGAGAAGTACAGAATACAAGTAACCTTTAAAAACAATATTTTTCACATTTCTTGGAACACTGACACTAAGAATGGCCTCACTAATAAATGTATATATGCCCTAAAAAAAATCTGCTCTTTTATCCCTTCCTTCTCAGTCTATTGATCTGTCTCTCCCCACCCCCACCTCATCACCATTCTGGTGCGTTTCATTAATTCCAAGACTGAAATCAAGAGGCATCTTCAGTGGTGTAGAGCATTTTTAATAGGCAGTAATATTTACACTTTTAGTGACAAATAAAGAAATTATTTGATACCATTTGATGGTGCCTAAGATTTGAAGTATATCTTTTCTCAGTTGTTCATAAGTAACTAGAGTATACTACTTCACAAATTCATGTTAAAAGCTGCTTCAGAATTTATTTTACCAATAGTCTCCTCCTCCTGCCTACTCTATTTTTAAATAGACAGGCAATTGTCATGATCCCACAAAATACTCCACAACATGCTTTTGTCACTCAGGATGTCTTGAAAGTTTTATGTCAGTGAATTTGTCATTTAGCATCCCTTTAAACTGCTGCATGTCATTATGATGGATCATTATTTAGTTAATCCTTACTGCTAGGGATATAAGTTATTTTTTTCACTGTTACAAGTAAGGCTTTAATGAACATCTGTAATTCACCCTTGTATATTTGATTAATATATGGAATAATTTCTTAAAAGTAGAACTAATGGGGCAGTTCTGCTGGAAATTTTGATATGCACTGTCAGCTTGCCTCCCATAGCAGTATCCATTCACATAAGTGACATGAGTGTGTCGTAACATACTTGACCCAACAGGTTACCACCTATCTTTTAAATAATTTACAACTTTAAGGCAAGTTAGCATTTCACTATTTAAATTTACTTCTAAGGTAAAACACTCTTCCATGCCTTTATTGATCTAATAAAGTTCTTTGCACACTGTAATTCTAACATGACCATTTTTCTAATAGGATGGTCATCTTTTTTATGATTCAGATAGTCTTATGATCTAAAATTTATATATTATGGATTAAAAAATCATTTCTTTGTCAAATATGCTCTAGACATTCCCCAAGTTTAGCATGATTTCTCAATATTTAATGATTTGTGATACAGAAATCTGAATCATATATTTATTCAAATTTATTTACATTTAACTTCGATTTTATGTTTGTCACACATGGGAAGGCCTTCCCTGACACAAAATGACTTATAAAAAATTTTCCAGTTCAGTTCACTCAGTCGTGTCCAATTCTTTACCGCAGAATGCCAGGCCTCCCTGTCCATCACTAACTCCCAGAGTTTACCCAAACTCGTGTTCATTGAGTCGGTGACGCCATCTAACCATCTCATCCTCTGTCGTCCCCTTCTCCTGCCCTCAATCTTTCCCAGGATCAGGGTCTTTTCAAATGAATCAGCTCTTTGCATCAGGTGGCCAAAGTATTGGAGTTTCAACTTCAACATTATTTCCACGTATTTTCTAATACCCCTAAGGCTTTTTTCTTTCAGTTTTTGTGATCCATCTGGAAACTGATACAGGGTATATAAAGTAAGGATCCAGCTAAATGTTTTGTTAAATGGTTATTCAAATGTCATCAGAATTTCACGGCGTGTAATTCTATCATTATATTTGGATCTTCTTTATAATTTCTTATTTTTAATTTGTTTTTCTTGTTCCTACGCTATGCTATTTTAAAATATATTGTGCTTAGCCATTCAGTCATTTCTGACTCTTTGCAATCCATGAACTTCAGCCTGCTAGGCTCCTCTGTCCATGGGATCTTTCAGGCGAGAATACTGGAGTGGGATGCCATTTCCTCCTCCAGAGGATCTTCCCAACACAGGGATTGAACCCACATCTCCTATCTCCTGCATTGCTGGTGGATTCTCTACCCTGAGTCACAGGGAAAGTCATGTTATTTTAAAACATATATGCTCCGTTGTTCAGTCATGTCTGACTGTGTAGCCCACCAGGCTCCTCTGCCCATGGGGCTCTCCAGGCAAGAATAATGGAGTGGGTTATCAGTCCCTTCTCCAAATTTAAAACATACAAAATCAAGTAATAAAAATCTGGTATGAAAAAAACCTCTTGCTACTATTCTTCAGAAGATTTCTGGCAGTTCTATTATAATTATGTATTATTCTAAAACACAAACTTTAGAATAATTTTATCACGTCCCCAAAAAGGAAATTCACACAAAATTTTGTTTGGGATTGCATTATATTTAAAGGTCAATTAGGGAGAAATTATACCCTTACAATGCTAGCACTCAACTTCATTTATTAAAATCTTTATGTTCTCCACAGAATATAAACATTTTCCTTCTATAGGTCTTACACATTTAAACTTATTCTTGAGTATTTTATATTTTGTTATACTGTAAATTTTTTTTTTCCATCAACATTAAAAGAACATTTTCAAGTTTTAAATTTTCTAACTGGTCATTTTATCAAACCTTTATTATTTCTAATAATGCTTCAATTAACTGAATTTTCTGGTTAATTTTATCTCCTTGTATTTATAATTTTGTCATGTTTCATTATCCTACTAATTGGGCTTCCCTAGAGGCTCAGGGGTAAAGAATCCACCTGCAATGCAGAACACGCAGGAGACCCGGGTTCCATCCCTGAGTGGGGGAAGATCCCCTGGAGAAGGGCATGGCAACCCAGTCCAGTATTCTTGGAGAATGAATGAACTGTCCATGGATAGTCCCATGGACAGAGGAGCTTGGCAGGCATCAGTCTACGGGGTCACAAAGAGACACGACTGAAGCACAAGCATGAGCATCCTACTAATTACATCAATAGTAGCATATTCAGGACAACCTTAAAGAGGCATCCTAATTTTCCTAATGTTTCACCATTAAATATCCCCTAATGTTTCACCATTAATGCTCTGATATGTATTCATGACATAACCATCCTATTTCTGTTTTAGTAAGAGCTTTAGTCAAGAATGAACACTGAAAAAAAAAAGAATGAATTTTATCAGGTGTCTTTTTAATGCCTTCACTGTTTACTAACAGATTTCCAAAACTGACTAATTTCTACAATAAAATCAGCGTCATTTTTTATACTTTTAATGTAATGTGGGACTCTGTTTGGTAGTAATTTATATTTACATCAATATTCAAAAGTGACCATCGTTAGTGCTACACTTGCTAGATTTCTATCTGTTACCACGGCCTCCAGAGAGCTGGAAACCTTTTCCTGTGAGTTGGAACAACTTTAATGGCAGATCCTCTTGGAAGTGGGTAAAAATGAACCTATGAAATAATGTGGACCCGGAGCAATTTTTAAAGTAGCTCTCTGAGAACTCTGTTTTGACTTTAAAATTTACTTTGAAAATGGAGTTAACCCAAAGGTACATTTGTGATTCCTTACTTTTCTCATCCCTAATTGCGTATTTCTCTATCACCAATTGGATGGACATGAGTTTGAGCAAGCTCCAGGAGCTGGTGATGTACAGGGAACCCTAGCTGCGCTACAGTCCATGGGGTCACAGAGTCGGACACGACTGAGCCACTGAACTGATCGTTCCTTTTCCCCGATACTCAGTAGACAGTTTAGTCTACTGTTTTGATTTTCCCTTCCAAGAGGCAGCTCTTATAATTTGACTATTTTTTCCTTTTCAATATCAGTGTTACCTTTATTATGCCTGTTTTTCTTAGGTTTATTTCACTGTTTCCTTTTTAATATTCCAAAGTAAATTATATAATTTTTATTCTTTGTCAGTTATTCAAGATGTTAACTTTCTTATAAATTTGGCTTTGGCCACATCCCATAGACATGAATATATATTAATCTCATTATACTATTTCCTAGATAATACGTAACTGTATTTTAAATTTCCTCTTTGATATAGTAAAGTATCCAGAGTTGGTTTTGTAGTTTTATTTATTTTTTTTTGTAGTTTTATTTTTTGTTACCTGTTCATTATTTCAGTCAACCAGCAAATGTCTAGTGTCCTTCTAGTTTTACTGCACCATGGTCAAAGAATGTATTGTGTTCTACTTAACTTCCTGAAAAATACTAGAGTGTCTCTGTTTCAAAATCATCAATTTCTTCTCCACAGTCATTTCAAATATTTCAAAAGATAAATTCCACAAACAACTCTTTTAAAGTTTTTCTTCACAGCATGCAGAATGGAAGACAAACCAGTTAACACCACATATTCTCAAATTTAAAATTACATGATTGCAAGAGTCACCATTATTTCCTATGTTACTGAGGGGAAAAAACCTGCCATGCTGATGGCAGCAATGTTAGCCATTTTTTAACTGCTGATAGCAGCAGTTAATGTTCAAGGGCAATTTAAAGCCATGAAAAATCATATCAATCTTCCTCTTTCACTAAAATCACCTAAAACAATGGCCTTCGTAATCTTTTTGTTTTTCCTGAATTGATTGTCTTGTTCATATTTGTTACCTTTTGCACATCAGGGACTCCATGATTCCCAAAGGATTTGAGTAAGACAAAGTGGCCCCTTCCTCCAGGACTATTTGAATAGGGAGGCAAGGATAGTTTTCAAAACAGCACGTTTAACATTATAATTTTATATTTGAAAAGTGAAAAAATAATTGATTTTATAAAATAGATCCTGTCCTCCTTTTAATAAGCCAACAGGAAATGAAAGCATAATGAGAAGACTTATCAAAGGGTCGAACTTCTTTTTTTTTTTAAGTCGAAAAAAGGCTGTAACTTCTGATAATTAACAGCTGGATATCTGTCAATTCTTTCAGCTTCTTTCAAAGTTTACCAGAATACTACTTCTTCACTACCGAAATTTTCCATATTTTAATTTTGCCCAAGCAAATATTTCAGTCAGTGAACGCAGTGCAAATTAAATATGATCAGAAGTAAAGCTTCTACAGCCTTTCATCTCCACAAAACCACTTATAGCAAGAAAACCTGCTTTTCTGGAAATAGGTTTTAAAGCCCATTGTTTTTTTTCTAGTGCAAACGGCTAAAATACCAATTGAATAATATAGGAATCCATCCTCACACTCAAAATTTAGTTACTTATGCTCTCTTGGCATGAAAAATTACTTACACTAAGATACCATGGGGTGCTGTTCGTCTTTCAACTATACACTGTACAGCCTACTCAGAGTTCAACTAGTCCCATCACTATCTACCTATCTGCTCACACAAATGTATTTAGGGAGAAATGTTTTCAATATTACCCTAGTTCTTCCACGGTACAGAGGTCAACAAAAACTTATTCATGAAAACACGTTAAAGATCTTGGTAAAGTCTCTAGAAAATACACTTTTAAAACAAAACATGAGACACAGACTAACGAAATGGACAAATGTTGAGAGCCCTTGACCTCTACCTTACAAACATAAAAACCATATAGGCTTAGAGACAGTGGCAGAATGCGGTTCATGAGCAGAAACAAGCCTGACTCCCTCCTTTCCTTGGAGTAATATTAATCCACTCAACACACAAGAAGAATGGCAAAAGACTACTGATGCCAACCTACTTTACAAATATCAGGCGAGCGCGAACCGCAACCGTCCTGAGCAGCCAACCTCACAGTTTGGAACTGTGTCACATTTCCCATACCTGTGCCCATCCCAGATCCCAACCCTCGCCAGCCCCGCCTCTCCCCTGCCCCCAACCTCGGCCTAGCTAAACCAAGAATGAGAAGCTAAAACTCTCGAACATTCCTTCTCCGGAGATTCAACCCCTCTTACCCACCCCCGCCAAGAAATTTTCTACCCCTCCGAAACCCGGCCAACGGGACGCGGTGAGGAGAGTCGCCGAAGAAAAAGCACATCCCGCCTCCGGCCGCCGCCGCCTCCCGGGAGCCTCCGCGGCGCTCGGGACAGGGGCCAGGATCCAGGCCAAAAGGAGTCGCAGGCCCCGTACACCCAGCACCTCCAAGAGCCAGGCCCGGAAAAAACGGAAGATCACTTACTAGTGGGAGCTCTGCCAAAAGTTCCCTGCCATGGAACACAGCTTGCCCTGATAAAAAAGCACCAGCCGGCGGAACGGCCCGCGGAGCGACCATAGACCCAACCCTCCCGGTCACCGCGCTCCTTGATCTGATGGGCTCAGCTCCGCTCCGCGGCGGCGACGGTGAGAGGAAGAAGATAGCACCCTATTCTCCTTGACGCCGGCCGGCAACACTCTGCTGTATAAACCAGTTCCTACGGATAAAAGTTCCGGCCCGCCCCGCGATAGCGGAGGAAGGAGGCGGGGAGGAGATACCCCTTGAGCACACTGAGAAAGGAGACGGGAACTGACTCTAATGAAATCTCGCGGCAGTGGGAGAGTCTCGCGAGAGTTTTCGTCATTTCCGGCCTAGAGCCCGCGCGGCTCGGGTGTCTGTGGTCGGTCCAATTCACGGGAAAGGGATTGGCGTGGGGAAGTCGGTTTTACGTTACTCCATCTTACAGGCTTCCAAGGCAGCACAGTGGCTTTGTATTAAAGTATACGACTTCCTGACCTTTGTTCTTTCTCCTGTGTTTGGAAAGAGAAATAAAGGTAATTTTGGCCTCAGAGGGCTTCCCTTGTGGCTCAGCTGGTAACGGATCCAGCCGCAGTGCGGAAGACCTGGGTTCGATCCCTGTGTTTGGAAGATCCCCCGGAGAAGGGAAAGGCTACCCACTCCAGTATTCTGGCCAGGAGAATTCTATGGACTGTATAGTCCGTGGGATCGCAAAGAATCGGACACGACTGAGCGACTTTAACACTTTCACTTGGCCTCAAAAACCTACCAAGCCAAATACGTTCTTAATGGAGTTCTTTTCAATGAAGATTTTTGACTGCAAAACAATGCAAAAAGAGATCACGACAAATTACTAGAGGCTAGGAGATTCAGGTCCCTTCCTTCTGTGAACTTCTAGGCAGTTTACCAGAATGCCACATAGAAATACTTCCTGTGTGCAACCTGGTTTCTGCTTCCTACCCAGAACTCCAGCATCTAAATGTCCAGCATCTCTCAGTTTTTCAGTGGCCGTGCAAGTCAGGGGCATACAGCTTAGGCTTCATTAGTTTAAAGGTAAATCATCTTTGAGGGACCCCATAAATGTAGGTTGAATTGAATTGGCTTGAACCAAAAGCTAGTTTAGAGTATCTGGTGGAATGCAGCAATTTACAAAAGCTGTTAAAATATCTAAATACCTCAGCTTATCTGGAGGCAGAAGGTGATGAGCCATGTAAGTTTGCTGGGTTTATTTTTTTCTCCTCTAATACTTAAAAAGAAATTTCCTTTATAAGTTTAGGAATATTCTTTCTCAGTCCTTACTACACATATAATTTGAACTCACTGAAATTAAATCAGTCTAAAGATCACCTAGAGCCAGACATCCTAGAATGTGAAGTCAGATGGGCTTTAGAAAGCATCACTACAAACAAAGCTAGTGGAGGTGATGGAATTCCAGTTGAGCTATTTCAAATCCTGAAAGATGATGCTGTGAAAGTGCTGCACTCAATATGCCAGCAAGTTTGGAAAACTCAGCAGTGGCCACAGGACTGGAAAAGGTCAGTTTTCATTCCAATCCCAAAGAAAGGCAATCCCAAATGCTCAAACTACCGCACAATTGCACTCATCTCACACGCTAGGAAAGTAATGCTCAAAATTCTCCAAGCCAGGCTTTAGCAATACGTGAAACATGAACTTCCAGATGTTCAAGCTGGATTTAGAAAAGGCAGAGGAACCAGAGATCAAATTGCCAACGTCTGCTGGATCATCAAAAAAGCAAGAGAGTTCCAGAAAGACATCTATTTCTGCTTTATTGACTATGCCAAAGCCTTTGACTGTGTAGATCACAATAAACTGTGGAAAATTCTGAAAGAGATGGGCATACCAGACCACCTGACCTGTCTCTTGAGAAACCTGTATGCAGGTCAGGAAGCAACAGTTAGAACTGGACATGGAACAACAGACTGGTTCCAAATAGGAAAAGGAGTACGCCAAGGCTGTATATTGTCACCCTGTTTATTTAACTTCTATGCAGAATACATCATGAGAAATGCTGGGCTGGAAGAAGCACAAGCTGGAATCAATATTGCCGGGAGAAATATCAATAACCTCAGATATGCAGATGACACCACCCTTATGGCAGAAAGTGAAGAGGAACTAAAAAGCCTCTTGATGAAAGTGAAAGAGGAGAGTGAAAAAGTTAGCTTAAAGCTCAACATTCAGAAAACTAAGATCATGGCATTTGGTCCCATCACTTCATGGGAAATAGATGGGGAAACAGTGTCAGACTTTATTTTTGGGGGCTCCAAAATCACTACAGATGGTGACTGCAGCCATGAAATTAAAAGACACTTACTCCTTGGAAGGAAAGTTATGACCAACCTAGATAGCATATTAAAAAGCAGAGACATTACTTTGCCAACAAAGGTCCGTCTAGTCAAGGCTAATGCTATGGTTTTTCCAGTGGTCATGTATGGATGTGAGAGTTGGACTGTGAAGAAAGCTGAGCACTGAAAATTGATGCTTTTGAACTGTGGTGTTGGAGAAGACTCTTGACAGTCCCTTGGACTGCAAGGAGATCCAACCAGTCCATCCTGAAAGAGATCAGTCCTGGGTGTTCATTGGAAGGACTGACGCTGAAGCTGAAACTCCAATACTTTGTCCACCTCATGTGAAGAGTTGACTCATTGGAGAAGACCCTGATGCTGGGAGGGATTGGGGGCAGGAGGAGAAGGGGACGACGGAGGATGAGATGGCTGGATGGCATCACCGACTCGATGGACATGAGTTTGAGTAAACTCCGGGAGTTGGTGATGGACAGGGAGGCCTGGCGTGCTGCAATTCATGAGGTCGCAAAGAGTTGGACACGACTGAGCGACTGAACTGAACTGAAAGATTCCCAATGAAGGAAAGTTACACAGCTCAAAACTCCCCTCCGGGTCCTCCCCACTATTCTATGCAAAATGAAGAACTCTCTCACCAGAAGAAAAAAAATGGACCATAAGGTTGATTACACCCAGCTCCCAGCCAGTCCCAGCCTCTGGCCTATCTCCAGAATTCCTTGCCCCAGCCATTTAAGAGATAACTACTTCAAACAACCCTGAGGAAGAACAGGCCCCCTTAAAGCAGTAGATTTCCACATATATGCCTGTATATACTTACTCTTTTCTTGGGTTAGTGCAGTAGCTCACTAATCTGATTGCTGCCCCTTCTCACTTCATTAAAGGTGATCTGATCCTGTAACGTGCCGGTCTCCTTTTTCCGAACCCGCCTTCTCTAACTCCCTTACCCTACACCCAGGACCAAGAAACGGAACATTCCCAAGAAGATCCTCCAGAACAAAAAAAAAATGTATAAATAGTAAACATCCTAAGCCTAGCCAGCGTGAACCAACCCTGTCTGAATTGTGAGTTTAACCAAAAGTTTACACCAAGTTACTGTTTTATTTTGCTTAAGAAAGAAGGTATTTAAGGAAGGGAAATTTGTGAAATATATAAATGGAGGTCAGAAAGATCAAATTTGGCAAGGTGTGTGTTTGAGTTTACTATTGCTACTGTAACAAATGACCATAAACCTGGTGATGTGAAACAGCACACATTTATTATTTTACAGTTCCGGTGGTCAGAAGTCCTAAATTCATGGGTCTTTCTGGGGCTAAAGTCACAGAGTCACCAGGACTGTGTTCATGCCTAAAAGCTCTAGAGAATTTTTTCTTGTCTTTTCCAACTTCTAGAGGTTGCACACATCCCTTGGCTCACAGCCCCCTTTCATTTTCAAAGCCAGCAGTGGCCAGCTGACTCACATAGCATCACTGTAACAGTGATTCTTTTGCCTCCCTTTTCTGCATTTAAAATACTCTGTGGTTACTACATTGGGTGCACCTGAATAAGCTGGATTCTTTATTTTAAATTCAACCGATTAGCAACCTCAACTCCATCTTCAGATTTAATTTTCCTTTGCTCTGTAACTAAAGATTTGACTGCTGGCCCACCCACTCACCTCCTATTGTGTACCTGGTTCATAACAGGAGGTTGGGGACCCTAGACCTAACTTACTCACAGCTGTTTGAGAATTAGGATGTGGACGTCTTTGGGTGGTGTGTGCTATTCTGACTTCTGTAATGCCTTCCAATTATTCAATGGCTCTGGCTCACAGTGTTAAGTATCTAGGCTCTTCAACAAGTATGGTCTTGGAATGGAAGTGATGCCTCAGAGTGATATAGCTTAATAGCCCTGGCTCCTACCGATTTTTGACTGTGTACTTATTAAGTAATCTTCCAGTAATAATTTGGCTTTTCACATGGATTTGCCTACAGAAACATAATGCTCTGAGTAGTGAACAAAAGCATTTGGTCAATTCGGCAATTATCATTATCCTCATAGATTAACAAATTTATACTGGCTTTTTAACATATGAATTTCTGTGTGTTTGATTAATGTGTGTCCACACCTAAGAGATGGTCTAGACTTGGTAGACTGGCAGCTCAGGTTTCTGAATCTGTGAAAATAAAAGCCAGATTGTAAGACTCTGAAGAAATCCATCTGTCTCATTAATCTTCCCAAATGATTGAAATCTGACTTTAATATATTTTTCAAACTCATACTGAGAATGGATCTCACAGTCTGGCTGTGGACTGAGAGGCTCTCCTAATTGCTCCCATCACATCCTTTACTCCTGGAACACTGGCTAATTTCCTTCAATGAATGAATCTTTTCATTCATTCTTTTTTCAAGTTTGTGTGTTTTAATTAGACTCTTTTGATTGCTAATGTTCCTTTCAGAAATGTACAGTTCACTATATAAAGAAACATGAATTGACAATAGAACTGTAACTAGAAAACTATGCAAGATTGAGGCATACTTTTTTAAATTATCTTTTTGAACTAGGTTTCATTTTAGACTTGCTTACAAAGTTGAAATACAGATGATTTACAATGTTATGTTAATTGCTGTGCAGCAGAGTGATTTAGTTATACATACATTCTTTTTTTAAAAAATACTTTTCCATTATGGCTCATTATAGGATATTGAATGTATTTCCCTCTGCTATACTGTAGGACCATGTTGTTTATCCATTCTATATGTAGTAGCTTACATCTGCTAACCCCAACCTCCCACTATATCCTCCTCCCCAACTCTATCCGCCTTGGCAACAAGTCTGTCTCTATGTCTGTGAATCTGTTTCTGTTTCATAGATAGGTACATTTGTGTTATATTTTAGATTCCACATATAAATGCTATCATGGTATTTGTCTTTCTCTGACTTACTTCACTTAACATGATAATCTCTAGTTGCAACCATGTTGCTGCAGATATTTTATTCTTTTTATGGCTGAGCAGTATTCCATTGTAAATATGGATCACATCTTCTTTATCTGTTCATCTGTTGATGAACATTTAGGTTGTTTCCACGTCTTGGCTATTGTGAATAGTGCTGCTATGAACATAGGAGTGCCTATATCTTTTTGAATTATAATTTTGTCTGGATATATGCCAAGGAGTGGGATCGCTGGGTCATACGGTCATTCTATTTTTAGTTTTCTGAGGAACCTCTATACTGTTTTACATCGTGGCTTCACCAACTTACATTCCCACCATGTAGGAGGGTTCCCTTTCCACCCTCTCCAGCATATTTTATTTGTAGACATTTTAGTAATGGTCATTCTGACTGGTGTGAGGTGGTACTTCATTGTAGTTTTGATTTGCTTTTCTCTAACAATTAGCAAACTTGAGCGTCTTTTCATGGAGGCATACTTCTTTCTGTGTGTTTTCTTGTTTCCAGCAGCCTGTGTAGTTCTCCCCATTCTATGTCTACTTCATAGTCTCTGCTCACTGTAACTAATTTTTGTGCTCTTCAGCTTTTCTTTACATCGTGAACTTTGAACTTTGCTTCCACTCTATTTCATTCACCATTTCTATTCTGGTTTATTCATATAGGTAGAGGTCACACACACAAAATATTTTTCAGGGATTCCACGCTATACAGCTAGGGGCAGTCCTGATTAGAATTACCATGACTGGCTAAGAGGACGATCCTTAACCGTGACTGTTTTAGAGTTTACTTATGGTGGGGATGGGGTTCGGGTGGGTTCTTAAAACATTGTATTTCTCAAACTTTTACTTCCAGACCAAAATCTTCTGTAGAACTAATGTACATATACATAATGTTATATGACTGTGTATGTATTTAAGTTTGAACAAGGAGAAACTGTGGAAGAATATGCACACAAAGTTATAATGGGATTAGTGAGGTAGAACAAGTCCACTGCTAAGATATGGGTTCTTGGGCAAAAATTTTTGTGGGCTCTCTTTCTGTATTAACATTCTGGCTAAAAAATGTACTCCACTGGAGACTGTAAAGTTAAAAACAAAAAGAACTGTAGAAACATTGTATTCTGGTTTGTACATTGGTTTTTCATAAGAATATAGGCTAACGATTCTGAATATGCTTTGCGTGTATGCTGAGGTTGAACAAATAAGTAAATGGATAGTAGCTAATGGGAGCCAGATTTCTTACTATCAGATAAAGAAAGTTACAGATAATCAATGGAGAAAGGATAGACTGAACTCTATGGTAATGAATTAGAGTTAGAAATCAGAGAATTAACTCTGTTTAGCTCATTATATACACAAACAGATATAAAATAATCATATATATGTTTGTACACAGGGATTAGTATACATATATGTATTTCCTAGTTATACCTGCTGAGAGAAGCTAGGAGCAGTGACACCCCAATTGCAAGCAGCACGCTCACACCAGATCTTGGCTTCCAAATACTATTCTCCAATAAAAGGAACTCAGGAGCCTTGGAGAAATAGCCAATTCTAAGGTTGGGCAGGGAAAATGCAAGATGATCCTAATTCATACTACCAGTAAGGAAGGAAGTGAGCAAAAATGAGAAAAAAGGAAGGAAATGTATCAAAGGACACAGGAGTCAACTTGAAAAAGACCCCAGTAGCCTAAGGTGGAAAGGCTTGAGCAATAGCAACAACAAAACAGTGTACTATTATAGCCCAAAGAATAAAATTAATATACCCAAATCCATATTGATACAAATATATGTTTGAATAAATAAATGGGTAAAAAGAGATAAATCCTCCTTACTGAAGAATTCCAAACAATACATGCACATACTTCCCACTATTCATAAGATGGAACTTTTGGGGTGATTTTGACCTCCATGGAATATTTGGCAATATCTGTAGACATTTTTGCTTGTCACAACTATGAGGTGGGTGCTAAGGGCATCTATTAGGTAGAGGCCAGGGATGTTGTTAAATATCCTGCAATGTTGTATGTGCAACAACAATGAATTATCCATCCCAAAGTGCCAGTAGTGCCAAGTCTGAGAAACTGCTGTGATATATTGGTGAGACAGGTGTGTTATGATTATGAGGACAAGGCAGTCAGGCTGAGAGTGACAAAACTAAAAGACAGGGGAAAAAACTGGTTCATTGTGGAATTAACCCACCCTCAAAAAACCCTCCAGACTCCCTGTTATATGGAAATAATGTCCCTTTATTGTTTAAAAAATTTCAGTTGCCATTTCTAATACCCACAGACAAGATCATCCTAACTGACAAGGAGAGAGGAGAAGGATTAGGACAAAATATAGTAAGCACATTCTATAAGCACAGGGTGTCCCAGGGCAAGAGGAAATGGCCAATCTGGTACTGACTCTCTGAAGTGTTATTTACTCTGGGAGGCTCTCCAAAATAAGTTCTGTTGTTGAAATTCTCAGCTAGACACTTCCATCACATTAAACCACACCGATTGTATTTGTTCTTTTCAGAAAATTAAATAGCAACTATTTGTGAGTTGAAATCAGGAAGCATAAATTATACTTTTTATATTCTTTGAGGAAACAGCCTCAAAACTTTTCAAAGACTTTAAAATGCTGAGAAGGGGGAAAATAGCATGATCTCTTTAAATTTGTAACCTAGAAAAATGGTTGGAACTGAACTTTGTTGTTATTCAGTCGCTAAGTCATGTCTGACTTTTTGTGACCTCATGGATACCCTGGAGGAGAGAATAGCTGTGCACTCCAGTATTCTTATCTGGAGAATGCCATGGACAGAGGAGCCTGGTGGGCTACAGTCCATGGGGTCGCAAAAAGTCAGACACAACTGAGCGACTAACACACACATATATATACATGTGTTGTTGTTGTTCAGTAGAAATTAACACAATGTTGTAAAATACTTAAATTTGGTGAGTTCATACTCTGATGCTATCTCTCATTACACATTGTACATTTAATAATGACTAGAAACATTTTTAATATCAGCAGTCTTCTAAATGCACATTTTTGAATACAGAAATCCTTATTTAGTGCTCACTTTGGCAGCACATATACTATAATTTGAATGATATAGAGATTAGCATGGCCCCTGTGCAAGGATAACATGAAAATCTGTGAAGTATTCACATTAAAAAAAAAATCCAGTTCAACTGCTGGGTAATAAATTCTTGATCTTCTATCTCGTGAAATCAAATTCAGCTACCTGAAACTATAGTTAATAATAATTGCATGTATATATTTTACCTAATCTTGTTAACATGCCTATTAAGTGGTATTATTAGGCTCTTTTTATGGATAAGCAAATAGGCTGAAAAGTTAAACAACCAGCTCAGGTCTACAAATGTAGCATGGTGGAGCCAGAATACAACACCAGTCTGCGTGTCTGGAGTGGATATGACTTCTGTATTATATCAATAGTGCCAAGACGGGACAAACCAAGTACTTGTCAACACTGAATATATTTCAGTTCAGTTGAGTCTCTCAGTCGCATCCGACTCTTTGCAACCCCATGAATCGCAGCACGCCAGGCCTCCCTGTCCATCACCAACTCCCAGAGTTTACTCAAACTCATGTCCATCCAGTTGGTGATGCCATCCAGCCATCTCATCCTCTGTTGTCCCCTTCTCCTCCTGCCCCCAATCCCTCCCAGCATCAGGGTCTTTTCCAATGAGTCAACTCTTCGAATGAGGTGGCCAAAGTATTGGAGTTTCAGCTTTAGCATCAGTCCTTCCAATGAACACCCAGGACTTAATCTCCTTCAGGATGGACTGGTTGGATCTCCTTGCAGAGGACCAGCAAATATCACCCTCCCACAGGCCCTCACACAGTACTGAACACTTTACTAATGATTCCTCAATAAATACTTATGATTAATTTTTTAAATGTCCTTGTTGAAACAGAACTATACTGTTCATGAATAATGGGCAGAGCACTGAACAGAGCAATAGACCCAGATGCTAACAAGGGCTCTTCTATTAACTATGTGGCCTTGGTAAAAATAAATGAAAAAAAAAACAAAACTATGTGGCCTTGGACAAATTACTTGTCTGAGGCTCAGCTTTAAAGTCAGAATAATGGTTCCTGGTGATCAGTTGTCACGGTTGGTGAGCAGTAGCTGAGCCAAGATGATATGGAATCTTCTGTCTCTCTATCAGATTACTAAGAGGACCATAAGTACTGCTTTACACAGGCAGTTTGAAAATAAGTTTCCAGCAAAACAAAAGCTGTTTCAGGAGGATGATGGAATTCCAGTGCATCTGAAGGGTAGGGTAGCTGATGCCCTCCTGTATAGAGCCACCGTGATTCTTACAGTTGGTGGGACAGCACATGCCATATATCAGCTGGCTGTGCCTTCATTTCCCAATAAGCAGGATTGACTTCAGTTTATCTTCCCAGCAATCAGTTGGTTCAATTCCATTCAGCTCTCTGTGAACCAGTAAATCTGATACACAACTGAGTTCTTTGGGGATCAGTATTTATTGACTTGTACTAACTGCCATCAATAAAGCAGTCTTTACCATGAAGAAAACCCAACAAGTCAAGTCATAATAACAATACTGGCTGGGCCTGCTTTCCAATGTTGGACAACATATGGAGGTGATCTTTGGAAAACATGATTTGTTGAACAAACAAAAGGGTTTACAGTCTCAAATTCTAAGCTCAATGAAGTCCATTTAACCTCTGCTATACTGACTGACCTGATTATGGTGTAAACCTAACTCAACAGCCCACCATAAGTCTGGCTGATAACTTCATCCTTTCATTGCATTCTACTTCTCTGAACCTATTTTTTGGCATTTATCATTTGATTCCATCTCTCCTTCACCCAAACCAATCAGTTTCCAAAGTAATTTTCTGGCACCAAAGAGAAGAAGTTATGCTGCCCAGATCACAGGGGCAAACTGTTCAAAAGACCATTGGAAACTTCTGCCCCTTCTTCTTACCCCAGTTGCATTAATCATATTTAAAATTTTTCTGTATGACATTTTGACATCTTAAATAATCTTTGTGGCTGGGGAGAGACTGCCCCTTCAGGTCTAGCTAATTCTTAGTGAGTGCAAAGGATCCAACAAGATGCATGCCCTTGATATGTAAACTAAAAATGAATTTTAATGAATCCAGAGCCATCATACCTTTGCTATCTGGCCCATATTCCTCTGCCTTAATCACCACAGGGTTAGGTACCAGGCAATAGGGACCACCTCATCATAGGGACAGAATAAAGGGACAAAGTACAGCAATTCAATAAGTAATCCCACTAGGGAAATATAAGTAAAGAAAAAAGTATGAGGATGGGACTTCCTTGGTGGTTCAGTGGCTAAGACTCTGAACTCCCAAAGCAGAGAGCCTAGGTTTGATCCCTGTTCAGGGAAGTAGATCTTACATGCCATCACTAAGAGTTTGCATGCTGCAACCAGCTGCAACTGAAGATCTATAATATGTGCTGGAACTAAGACGCAGCACAGCCAAATAGGTAAATAAGTAAATATTATTTTTTAAAAAGAAAAAAATGTATGATAGACCCCTGTAAGTTAAGGATCACTCAAGAAAGCACGTTTGCTTAACAAAACCATGCCAGGGAACCATAAGTCATGGCCCAAAGCAATAAAGCAATGGTGGAATGAGACCCATATCCTGCCCAGCAAGGGCAGTAAGTTAATGATTCCTAGGACATGCTCCTCTGCATAAACTAAAAACAAAATATAAGAAAAGGTGACATTATATTGAAACCTGAGATGATTTACCATGTTTTAGTATATGTCAACACTTTTTTGCTCATTTTCATTGTGCCATGACAATCCCATTTTGACCATGTAGGGACAAGAAAACTTCCCTGCCTGATATGGAGGGGGAACTGATGATGGAGCTTGACGTCTACTTAAGAATGAGCAAACTGGTCTTCTCCACCTCCTCACTTTTCCTTTGACTATAAAACTGTAGCCCACTTAGCTCTTGGGCAGAACTCCCTCGCCTGCTTGCTTGTAAATCTCACACGCTTCCCTACACTACTAAACTTTTTCCTTACCTGTCACTGCCTCTTGCTGAATTCTTTCTGCACCAACATAGATAAGCCTGTGTTCAGCTGCATTCTGAAATGCTTTCTGCCATTTCAACTATAGCCTGAAACTCAAGGACACTCTTCAAACTAGCCATTCCTAAATTGTTCACCCTGCCCGGCCTTACATTTCCCACAGGAACCCTAGTAAAAAGTCTGGCCTAAACATATTGCACACTCCTGCCTTTGCTTCATGATCAAAATCTGGTGTCTGTTCTGTGGCTGTGTGGTGAGCTGTCCCTCTTGTTTCTAGGGGAATTGGGAATAACATTAAACTTGTCTTGCGGTGGCACTGACCTCTCTGTTGTCACTCAGTCCCCTTTATAAATAAGACTTAGGCACAGAACACAGGCCAGCAGGTCTTTTCAAAGCTAAAGTAGCTTAAGAGGGAGAAGAGTCCTGAGTGTTATCAAATAATGACTTGCCCTTCGGGGCAAGGTTATCAGGATGTATTTATTTTATGATTCTAATTCCTTTACTTGGCAGATCTTGATCTATATTTAAAAAAAAAAAAACAGTGGATAGTTCACATGTGTGTGTTAGTCGCTCAGTCGTGTCCAACTCTTAGCGACCCCATGGACTGTAGCCCTCCATGCTCCTCTGTCCATGGAATTCTCCAGGCAAAAATACTGGAGTGGGTAGCCATTCCCTTCTCCAGGGGATCGTCCAGACCCAGGGATTGAACCCTGGTTTCCTGCATTGCAGGCAGATTTTTTACTGTCTCAGCCACCAGGGAAGCCCCTAGTTCACGTGACTTAAATTCAAAATATTTCTTTGTGAGAAAGGAAAATGAGACTTGGTGTAAATTAACCCCACCATTCTTTTTGTTTGTTTCTAATCATTGGACTCCTTGAATACTCATCTCCCCTTTTATTCACCTTATTTGTTCTTTGTCTTCTTTGACTTTCCTTCCTTGAGACTAAAATGATAGATTTTGTTTAAAGTTTAAAGACAGAGTTCAGTTTTCAGTATGGAAAATATACTGAACGTCTTAGTCCATTTGGGCTGCTGTAACAAAATACCATAAACTGGGTGGCCTAAAAACAGCAACATTTATTTCTTGCAGTTCTAGAATCTGAGAAGTCCAAGATCAAGACTACAGACAGAATTATGTCTGCTGAGAACCCTTTTCTTGGGTCATAGGCAGTTTTTCCCTGTGTCTTCACATGGCAGAAGGGGACGGTGGTCTCTGTAGTGTCCGTTATAAGAGCACCAGTCCCATTCATAGGAGAAGGCAATGGCAACCCACTCCAGTACTCTTGCCTGGAGAATCCCAGGGACAGAGGAGCCTGGTGGGCTGCCGTCTAAGGGCCGCACAGAGCCGGACACGATTGAAGCGATTTAACAGCAGCCCCAGCAATCCCATTTAGGAGAGCTCCACCCTCATGACCTACCACTTTCTTAAGGCCCCACCCATCACATTGGACACTAGGTTTCAATATACAAGTTCTGGAGGAGGCAAAGATACAGACCTTAGCACTAAATACAAGAAAGTAGGTTAATTTGCCCACAGAATACATTAAAATATATCTCTTCAATCATCCCTAGAGACCCTAAGAGGGAGGAGATGGTTCTAGTTTTATCTCCTTTGTCCTGTTTTCCTTTCCTGTCCTCTTTGAGGTGATCAATGGTAAGGTTGTTCAGAGGCAGAATCTTTACTGCGGCTGCTCTTGATACTTGATCCTTTTTTCATTAATTCAACTAACTGGAAATAAGCTTGCTGAGATCAGGTGCCTTATCGGTGTTGTTCACTTCTGTATCCTTACTTGGCACAATGACACATAGTTGGCGCTCAGCAAATACTTGTTAAATGAATGAACCATTATTTTACTGAACTTCTGTGTGCCGGGTACCGCTCCAGGAGCTGAGAAAAGGGAGGTAAGGACCGCATTGCGGTTCCCGCGGAGGCCCACGCTAGAGAACAACAACAGACGCGCTAAGTGTTCTGCCTAAATGAGGGAAGGAACGCCGGGCTGAGACCTGCGCCAGCCGGCGCTGGGTGGCGTGCGCGTCTGCCGGGTCTGGCCTGGCTCTCCTCTGGCTCCCGCGGCGCGGACCGATCTGCAGCAACAGACCTCGGAGCTGTTTGAATGCCAGATGATTCCTCCCGACGGACTAGCCCCCGGGCGTTCCTATCTCGTTCCCAGACGCTTCCCCGTGCTCCGGGGTTGGGCAGCACACACCTGTCTTCCCAGCGTCGGCCCAGCTGCGGCTCAGGCCTGCGGAACTCCAGGGAGCGATACGCCCCCAATCCGCAGGCTGCGGGCCAGAACAGCAGCGGGGCCGCAACAGTCTCCAAATTCTTCAGAGACTTCACCTGCTCCGGCTTGGGGAATTGCGTGGGGCGCAGCCTATAGGGCAGCTCCCGCGCTGTTCGGGCTCCTGCATCTTCCCCCAACGGGAACCGGGTGTGTGTGTGGCTGGAGGGGGGAGGGGGGCGCGGTGGTTGCAAGAGGTGCTTTCACTTAGGTACGGGCAGGGTCAAATTGTGGCTGTGTTGTTTCCTCTCCCAGGTTTGGCTGGAGCCAGAGAAACTCTCAGTGCTCAGGGACTTGAAATTCCTCCTGTGTCTTAAACCCTGAAACAACTGCAAGAGCTCTGGAGATGGGAGCGCGACTGCCGCGTTGGAGCTGGCAGGGCGACAGTAACGACAGTAGCAGCAGCGGAAAGCTGGGCAGTGTGCGAGTCTCCCTCTCCTCCCAGCTTTTTGCCAACGTGCGCATCCTTGGACACTCGGGAATCTACTGATCAACTTTTATTTAAGCAAAGAGCTCTGAAGCTCGAGTACCTCTGCCTGACATCCCCAAACACTGTCAGCTGCCACTGTAGTGTACTGAATCTGGGGGTGGAGGTGGGAGGCAGGATTACTAGAGGAAGAGTTAAACTTATACGGGAAATATTATTGCATCTGTATCCTCCTGCCCCATGTCTTCCTTGAGGATAATGCTAGACTTCATCTGACAATTTCAACATTTTCACCTACAAACATTTCCAAAAGTGAAGTCTTCCTTCTTGTTAAGCATGCTTTCCTGTTTTCCAATACACGGACTGATGCTGGCTACCCACTACGGGGGCAGGAAACCACTCACTACCTTTCATAATCACTGTTTCACCGATTTTCTGTATTTTTTCTTAGGATATGAATACATATATTGACTACGGGTTTATTCAGCTGTAGTTGTAATTCTTTGACTAAATGGAAATAATTTTACACATTCAAACTTTTTTTTTTTAAAGTGAACAATATCATGATAGAAATGGCCTTTGGAGTCTTCCTGGTCTTTTCACAGAAGCACCAAGCCTTTGACTTTGGTCCATTCCCCACCCCACCCCCCAAGTATCAAAACCTAGACCTGACTCCAGACAGGAATTGTACAACCTTTTTCTGTGCGAGATCGTGCCTTTGTAAGGGTCCCGAAGCTCTCCAGACTTTTTGAAAACCATCTATGTGACAGTGGAACCTTGCAGTATTCCTGAAAACGTGGGGAAAGATCACATTTGCAGGGCCTGGGTGGGCTTAGCATGATGCGTGTCAAGCAGTAGAGTTGCCGCACAGTAGGTGCGCATTACCTGTCATGGACAGTGATGCAAGACTTAACCTAGGATGCTCAGGCCAAAAGGCTGCTAACTCTAACTTTGGCTGACAAATGTGAGCTCCTCCTTCTCTTTATCATCATTTATGTCTTTATCAGTAAAGAGCATTTAAAGGAATTATTATAAAAGGCTTCCTGCCTTGGGAGTCCCACGACAGCCCAGCAGAGTCATGGCTGCACGGACCTCGCTCGGATTTTGGTACCCACGTACTCTCCCTCGCCCCAGCCCCCAACCTTCTTCGGCCTTCCTAGAGCTGCACCGCCGCGGGGCCCCAAGGCCCGGTTTGCTTTGCCCTGCATTCTGCAGGTTAGCGGCGCCGGAGGCTGGGGAGAAGGTGGGGCCCGGGCGCGGAGGAGGATGCGGGGCGAAGTTCATGCAGGGAGCGGACGGGGCCAGCAAGACCAGCCGCCCTGCTCCGCCCGCCCTCGGCCCGCAGCTCCAGGAATCCACCACTTTGTGGTCACGCGCCCTGCTTTCCAGGAGCGCGTAGTTCCCGGGCCACCGCGACGCAAGGCCATTACTAAGAAGGTGTGAGGGCAAGAGACATCCACGGGAAGAGAGAGGCATAGCTCCCACGAGGTCTAGGGGCAGCTTTTTCTCTCCGCCTGCACAGGAAAACAGCCTGTCTCGCCAGTGGGTCCAATCTCAGGAGAAGAGCCAAAGGAATCCAGCGCCCCGACGTTTCCAAGCCCCAAGTCCGGCTGTCCGGTGGAGCTCTTCGGGTCACCAGCGCTGGGGACGTCCTTCCTCGGCGGCAGGGGGCAGGCCTCGGCCGAACCCTCAAAGATCCCCAACCTTGCTCTCTCTGCCTGGGCTTCCTTCCTCGGTTTTCTGACGCCAGAGGTCAGTTTTTCCAGGGGGCTGAAGGTCCACATGGGGAAATCGATGGTGTCTCACATTTCATTCCTTTCTCACTTCTGTGTTTGTCACATGTGTGGAGCTTTCTGCACCTGAACGTCACTTTGATGGAATAAAGTAAAATCTCATGCCCGGAGCAATCAATCATTTCTTGTTGGAGATGACCCATTTAGTCACCGGAAATCCAGCTAAATGCATTGCTCCAGAAAGAAAAATCTTTTTAAGATTCCAGCATTCACTGCAATGTTTGTTATCGCCAGAATGTAGAACTGACTGTTTGAATGTATTAATATTTTCAAAGAGTTGCAATTTTGTCACAAGTTTGTAACCAGTTTTTAAAAGACCAACCAATGCTTAAAGGTAAATTAGTTGCAAGCACAGGAGGGGAAATATTAGTTAGAAAAATTAGTTAAAACAGCAGATGAAAACTGGTCCCCCTTTATAAATCTTCTCCCAGTAATTTTCTTTTCTTCTATTTCAAATTTCTTGCCCAAATTGCAAGAAGCAGCAGCAAAGCAAAATACCCACATCTCACATTTAGATTACAGATATTGTCAACTTATTCAAACACCCCACATTTCTTTATCCTTTGATATGGAGTCTAACTTCCTATGCTTTAAAAGCTGGGCAGAAACTTTCCTTAGGGTGGGGCTTTTCAATAGTTGAAACATGGGTTCTTTAAAATTTATATATTTAAGCTAAACCGTCCTTAATCTTCTCACCGTGGAACAATTCTACCAAGCAAAACAGAAAGTACTGCCTAATTCAAAATGTGTTTTGAAAGAATAAGTTTACCATGCTGAGAATAAAAGGTCTTTCCTCTTCTAAGTAACACCATGTTCTTCAAATACCTTCTTTTAAAATGAATATTTCAGTTAGACAGAGCCAAATATCTTTAGTCTTAAGTTTATTTGGTAATAAACTTATTAATAAATTGATAATATTCTTAATTCTCATTTTCTCCCATGTTGATTGTCTTGGGTGCTGAGAATAGGTTAGTGCTTTGAATAAATCACAACCATCCTTAGTTCACAGATTTTTTTTCAGCTTGGAAGAGGCTGTAAGTTTCTTCCTGAGATCAAACAATATTTACTCCTCTTTTTCATATGTTATCTCTTTGGCCTTCTATTCTAATAACAAGAAGCCTTGAAAATTCATTCTCCATTATATAGTCAGTATGAAAGAGGTAAGAATGGTTTCAGAGGCATACTGAATTTACTTTCTCTGTAAATATTATGTGGAGTTTAGTAAATTCTCCATTCTCATCATCTTCATTATGTAAAATATTCAGAATTAGAATTTTGAGGGTAATACTATCCAGCCATTAAACAACAACAATAATTCAAAAAACAATTTTGGATATCTGGGTAATTTAGTCTTGGCTGAGTAGCTATGGTTCCTTAAAATGGAATAAAATTCAAGAAAATGTAGCATGTATCTTCAGTATTCTTATTACTAAATAAACATTTGGTCACTTTTTATAACTCATTAGATATTTCAGTTGTTTTCAAGTTAAGCCTTTCATTTTTTTTTTTTTCTCTTAAACATACCAAGATCTTGGGGTGTTTCTACAGAGGGATATTATTGGATATAATAACCTTCCCTGAATTTATGCCTGCTCTTTCATGACTTTAAAGTGATTTTGCATGGGGTTCCCCCATTTGGGGTATAATTTATATGTTATAATGAGAAAGGAAGTATTTCTTTTGTTGGACCATAAAATATTGAGACCAAAGAAGATTAGGTGTACCTAGAGTAGAGGAACATCATGAGACATGCTGGGCTGGAAGAAGCACAAGCTGGAATCCAGATTGCCAGGAGAAATATCAATAACCTCAGATATGCAGATGACACCACCCTTATGGCAGAAAGTGAAGAAGAACTAAAGAGCTTCATGAGGAAAGCGAAAGAGGAGAGTGAAAAAGTTGGCTTAAGCTCAACATTCAGAAAACTAAGATCATGGCATCTGGTTCCATCACTTCATGGCAAATAGATGGGGAAACAGTGGAAACAGTGGCTGACCTTATTTTGGGGGGGCTCCAAAATCACTGCAGATGGTGATTGCAGCCATAAAATTAAAAGACGCTTGCTCCTTGGGAGGAAAGTTATGACCAACCTAAAAAGCAGAGACATTACTTTGTCAACAAAGGTCCATCTAGTCAAGGCTATGGTGTTTCTAGTAGTCACGTATGGATGTGAGAGTTGGACTATAAAGAAAGCTGAGTGCCGAAGAATCGATGCTTTTGAACTGTGGTGTTGGAGAAGACTCTTGAGAGTCCCTTGGACTGCAAGGAGATCCAACCAGTCCATCCTAAAGGAGATCAGTCCTGGGTGTTCATTGGAAGGACTGATGTTGAAGCTGAAACTCCAATACTTTGGCCACCTGATGCGAAGAGCTGACTCATTGGAAAAGACCCTGATGCTGGGAAAGATTGAGGGCAGGAGGAAAAGGGAACAACAGAGGATGAGATGGTTGGATGGCATCACCGACTCAGTGGACATGGGTTTAGGTGGATTCCGGGAGTTGGTGATGGACAGGGAGGCCTGGCGTGCTGCAGTTCATGGGGTCGCAAAGAGTCGGACACGACTAAGCAACTGAACTGAACTGAACTGAGAGCAGAGGAATGAAGAAGGGAACATAAGTAAGAACCTGTATCTCTCAGATGGCCACCTGTTCCAGTAAGTATAAATTCAAGATATCTTGTGGGATTGTATTTAATTCAGTAACCTAGAACCTAGAAGAGACATATTTGTTTCATTACACACACACACACACATGCATGTATAGATTTTACTTTATAAAAGGATATGAAGGTTGGGACCTGGAACCTCTAGATGTCCTTTGGTTCTGAGATCTTCAGCTTCATGAACCACAATACAAATGGTTTTTAGGAGTTGCCTAGTAACAAAGTTATGGCAGTGTTTTCGTAAAGCTGTGTTAAAGGTTGGGAGCTCAGCAAAATTTGGGAGAAAAATTAATGATTACTCAGAGGAAATGATGAATTCAAACTAGACCATAAACTGTCTTGGTTTCAGACCCAGAATCAAAACTCTTTATACTGGGACTTCCCTGGTGGTCCATGGGCTAAGATTCTGAGCTCCCCAGGCAGGGCCTGAGTTTGATCTTTGGTTAGGAAACTAGATCCCACATGCCACAGCTAAGAGCTATCAAACCACAATGAAGATTGAAGATCCCGAGTGCCCCAACTATGACCGAGTGCGGCCAAATAAATAAATGTTTTAAAAAACTCTCTTTATGTAAATGCATCTAAAACCTTATTTAGATCCTGGTTACCCAAATTGTCTGGGCCCCCTAGGCTGCTTGCAGGAGAGCTGGTGGGCCAAGCAGGTCAGCCTCCCTGCCTGCACCAGAGGGACTACAGGGGATAGGGTCAACCCCTCTGACTTCCAAGAAGAAGCCTGAGAGGACCAAGATGCAAGGGGGACACTGCTTCTGTCACCTTCTCCCTTTTAACCTACACTTGAAATGGCAACCCACTCCAGTATTTTTGCCTGGAAAGTTCCATGGACAGTGGAGCCTGATGAGCTATAGTCCACAGGTCCATATAGTCCATATAGTCCATATAGTCACAAAGAATCAGACAAGACTGAGCAACTGAGCATAAGCGTAAAAAGAAACCTGGTGAGGGGGAATAGCATTATGGATTGAGTTGTTCAGCCTGTCTCCCAATACGCTACAAGTTTTCAGGGATATATTATCAGCCATCCTGATTTAACTCAATTAACTCAGCAGTTGTCCCCTCCTTTTTCTTGCACCATTAATATTTCCTCATTTGTGAATTATTAGCATCATTGTACAAGCCTACGCTAGTATCTGCTGCTGCTGCTGCTGCTGCTAAGTCACTTCAGTCGTGTCCGACTCTGTGCGACCCCATAGACGGCAGCCCATCGGGCTCTCCCGCCCCTGGGATTCTCCAGGCAAGAACACTGGAGTGGGTTGCCATTTCCCTCTCCCATGCATGAAAGTGAAAAGTGAAAGTGAAGTCGTTCAGTCATGTCTGACTCTTAGCGATCCCGTGGACCGCAGCCTACCAGGCTCTCTGTCCATGGGATTTTTCAGGCAAGAGTACTGGAGTGGAGTGCCATTGCCTTCTCCGACGCTAGTATCTACCAACCATTAAAAGTCTTTGATCCCATATTCTCTTCCAGTTACTACCATATTTCTCTGATCCCCTTTGTAGCAAGAATCATTCTAAAAGTAGCTTAGAGTTGCTGTCCCTACTTCCTCTTCTCCCATCCTTTTTTGAACCCCGCCCCATCAGACCTTCACCCTCATCAGTCCAATGGAAACTTTTGCTGCCAAAGTCAGAATTAACCACCATGTTGCAACATCTAGTGGTCAACCTGTAAATCCTTAGCTTACCTGATCTCTCAGCAGCATTTAACAGGGATCATAATTCTGTTTTTTAGAAACTTCACT